TAATTTCAACTAGAGCCTCTCCGTGCATGGTATATTTGTTTACTATAGAATCCGTGCGTCGTTGCAGTGAATGATTTCGTATTATTGTGTCCAAATGTCACGATTTCTTAAACATTTGTTGAAATTGTACATGTTTTCAATAAGTATTGTTATCCCATTTTCGAAATAGCGGTTAGAGAGACTTAATTTCCCTTGCTTTGTATTTTTCCACTCAGCATGTCTGGCTTTGCAGCCATGTTGATACCGGTTCTATCTGGTTTGTAATATATTCTATTATGACGTAGACTTTTTATTTTTACATTCAGCACGTATGTTATTTTATATGCTTTTTTCCCCTGAGTGTGTGGTGTGTGCTCTTTTCCCAGGGTCCTTTGTCATGAATCAAATTGTGTACATTTTTAGGATATTACTTGTTTTGTCAACTCATTGTTGCTACTCTAGGTTTGTACTGTTATATGGTGTTACAGATTAATACTTGTAATTGCAGAGGTCTGCAAGACAGCTTTAAAAGAAAGAGAGTTTTTATTTTTGAAAGAGAATTTGGGTATGATATAATCTTTCTTCAGGAAACCCACTCTAGGGTAGATGATGAGAAGCTGTGGCGTACTCAGTGGGGAGGGGAGGCAGTTTTTGGCAGCTACTATGTTCCAATAGCCGAGGTGTGGCTATCTTGTTTAAAGCTTCTTTGAAAATATCAGTCTTATCTTTTCACCTGGATCCTGAGGGAAGATATATTATCCTCCATATTAATGTTAATGATGTACACTCTACTCTTGTCAACTTATATGGTCCTAACAAAAGACTCACCAGATTTTGTTGTTGATGTTTTTGCTAAGTTAAATGAAATAGGTAACTCTCATATTATTTTAGCAGGAGATTTGAATATTGCAGTAGGCCCTTTAGATTACGATTGATTATTGATTGTCAACGAAATGGAGTTAAGTCTTTTGTTAATTTCGTTTATTGATACGGCGGGCAGCCAGTGAAAACGAATTCGTTTAATAAAATTATGGAAATGCAAGCACTACTTTAAACAAACAGAACTTTGTCATTCCTCGCTCATTTTTCCTGATTGAGGTGTCATATGAAATGTCAGAAACTCAACTTTCTAGAAATGTGAATTTTTCTTCGAAATTCAGATACCGCCCGCCAAATGTCTTTTTGGTTTACTTCCTTCAAATTGCTTTTAATCACTCATGCGTGAAATATGCATCATCTGAGTAGCATCACATGAAAGAGGAGACTCTAAGCTTTCCAAATATGTATCATTAATTAATTATAGTTGTGATTAAGTTATGATAGAACATCGATACTTTTCGGTTTTGTTTTTTCCGGGACGCACTGTAGTAAGGTCTAGATTAAAGTGGGCTGAACATGGAGAAAAAAGCTCTAAATACTTCTGCAATTTAGAAAAACGGTCCTATGAAAGAAAAACTATACGCCAACTGAAGGCGAATAATGAGCCAATCATCACGGATCCTAAAAGAGTACTTCAGGAAATTCATTCTTTTTATAAAGCTTTATATTCTTCAGAAGTATCTCTTGAGAATAGGGACACTATCAAGGATTTGATCGCCCCCTTTGAATATACCTACCTTAACAGATGATTCAATCTCGGCTCTAAACAGACCTTTAACCAAAAATGAACTTTGGACCACATTAAAGAATATGGGCACAAATAAAAGTCCAGGACTAGATGGCCTTCATTGTGAATTTTATTTAACCTTTTTCAATGATATCATAGATTTATTACCCCACTCTTATAATTATTCTTTTCAAGACGGAATTTAACACAATCTCAAAGCAGTTCCCCCCAAATGAAATTCAAACGTGGTTTATTTCTAATTCGATACCAGTGATTTACAAATGTTGTTCAAATGGCATGATTTTTACCTGAACTTCCGGGGGCTCTGCTCCCTGGACCCCACCAAGGGCCTTAAGGCGGCCCTTGCTTGCTCATCTTACCGTAATTAAATGCCTAAAACGCCTGAGCTTCTGGGGGCTCAGCGCCCTGGACCCCACTCCAATAAGTGACTTACATGCCAGTGTCACAAACAAGGTATCAAAATATACTCATCTGACCGTAACTAAATGCCTAAAACCCCTGAGCTTCCGAGGGCCCCGCCCCCGGGATGCTCATCTGACCTTAATAAATGCCTGAAACCCCTGAGCTTCATGAGGTTCCGCCCCTTGACACCCACAGGGGCTTTGCCGCTGGACCCCACGTCAATTTACGCTCCGCTTTGCTTTGCTTTGAGCTACCTGATCGTAAATACTTTAGCCCCCCCCCCTCCCACTTTGAAAAACGTTCCCAGGGCCTGCGTAACATGTAAGAGTGGTGGTGATGCGGATTTTGTCCCCCCCCCCCCCCCCCCCAAAAAAAAAAAAAAAAAAAAAAAAAAAAAAAACACGTTTTTGCTCATTATGCCACTGCTCCCTCGTCCCTCGCATTTCGTCCCCCCCCCCCCCCCGGTCATGAAAAGAAATCGCTGCCCTTGCACATAAGGTACAAATTCTGACAAAGTTCTACATGAATAATGTAGATGCAATATTGTGAATCATTAATTTTATCATTTGATGATTTGATGAAGATGATAATAATAATAATAATGATAATAATATCAATACTAATGATAATGATAACAAAAGTGATATCAATATCGATAATAATAATAAGCAGATATTTCTTTTATCAAGGAAAGCCTCATCAGCTGAAATGTGAAGGGTCCTGAGCAGGGGTGTCAATTTGTATCCGTGGTTGGGGGGTGATAGGTGCCAAAATAGTTTCGGCAATGGGTAAAAGCAACCAAGAGGTAGAAGCGTGTGGCAGGTCGCACTCCCTCCCTTCCAAGTTATTACCTTTTTTCAAGTCACACTCAATAAAGATAACATTTCAGAGAATATAAGAGTGGTATTAAAATTAATAATATGCTAAATGTTAGTCCTGACTCTGGCCTGCAGTGTAGGCCTACCAGTCTGATATCATCTATGTTTAAACGAAATTTAGACATTACCCCAAAAAAATCCAATGGTGAGGGATATCAACTTGATATGTTACCAGTGGGCAAATGCATTAATAAGCAACCAGGAAAGGTATATTTAGACAGATTTTTTTTTATTTCCTGGTGTTCTATGATGCTGTTGATTGAATAAATTGAATAAATTCGTCAACTTGAATTCCTGATGAGGCCGTATGAGCGAGAATTCAATTTATTCTTGTCTCATATACGATTGTCTCATTTACTTCGTTTTCTAATTATATATATGTATGTATTATGAAAATGAGATAGTAAAATGTGCATATTGATGGTCATCTTGCGAGTAATAACCATTTACTACTCTCATCGGGCTCTCATCATAAATTTTTCTCTTCATTTTTGTTTTGATGGTGAATTATTGGGGGGATGATTGTACAGGCCACCTTCCCCCCACCTGAAATATTTTTGGGGGGATATCCCCTCCCCCCCTCTATCTATTTTCAAAGTACTCTAAGTCGTACAAAAAGACACAAAGCACAACACGGTATATTCATTTTAACTTTAAACTATATATACGAATAGGTTTATTTGGAAAATAAGAAATTCTTATTTTTCTAGAAATAAATTATGATAACAAATGGCAAAATACTTCAACTATGCAAAACGGGAACAACACGGGAAAAGATTGCTCATGTGACTATAATGTTCCTTGTAAAAGCTACTTTAAAAAAAACCCATTCAAATGACAATCTAAAATCTAAATTTGAGTAATAAAATAACACAACTTCAACGTTGAAAGTAGACGGCATTTTGGGGATCGCGCGATCAGTGGAAAGACCGCGCTGTGTGTATGATCGATGCGTGCGATAGAAGAATAACAACAACGGACGGATTGTGTCTGGACTAGGGATCGATGCGTGCACTGATAAGCTTGGGAATGTCTTCCAGTTAAAAGGGGGGGGGGGGGGGGGGATAAGGGAGAGGTCGGGTAGGGTAGGGTTAACAAAAAGAGAAAAATTTTCTCTCAGGACAACAGTATAAAAGAAGTAAAGTTGCTACATTGTTAAAACAAAATTTTTGGATTATACAACTGCATATGTTTTCTTTGAAAATATGAATTTTTGTTTCAAATATGATGTATAGGAACTAACTATGTAAGTTTCTTTTGAAGCTGTTTGTAAGACAACAATTTATGCTGATTTATAATGTCATCACATTTGCAGTGAGTGTTACATATGATGATTGTAATTTGTACTATGATTATAATTTGTTTCAAGAGAGAAAAGAATAAAAACTGACCATAAAAAAATAAATAAATAAAAGAATAACAACAAAAATAACGGACAGAATCTGAACAAACCTTGATACAGCGACGTATCTACGAAGGGGGAGAGGGGGCGGGGGGGGGGGGTCAACTGGTCCCAAATCGCAAAGGCAAAAGTGAGAGAGTTTTGATTCTAATTTTAAAAAATCAGTCTTTGATCCGTCTATAAGTTGACAAATGAGGAGATGTGAAATCATCTAACATAAGAGAAGATGTACATGGGCTCCTAAAGATAGCCTTGCATTGATATACATTGCACGTTTGTATTATATATATTGTTCTTTTTCTTCATGAGCCTTACACATCTGACGGTCAAAGGGCGATCAAATCTTCCCAATATGTGGATTGGTGTGAAAGCTAAAATATATTTAAAATAGGTGCTGAAAGTTTAAGATACCAGGAAAATGAAAAGCTATGAATGTTTGAAATATGAGATCATTTAATCTATGTGAATCTTCTAGAGGGTGCTTGTCGGCTCTAAAATTAAGATCGATTCTATTAAACATGTTCCATTTTGCTCCTAAGTATACATACATACATATATACATATTGATATTTATATAGCGCCTTTACATAAACATGCTCAAAGCGCTTTACATTAGTAAATAAAAACAGAATAATTATATTTTCTCCAAGTGCATTACAATCTATCCCCCCCCCCCCCGGCCCGGCTCTCCGCCCGCCCCCCCCCCCCCCCCACACACACACACACAATTGCATAGGGCATTTTTCTTGGATATGAAGTGTGGCATGTTATTTTTAATGTCTTCCAGTTAAAAGAAATCCTGCTCTGTTATGGAGTAAAGATAGCTATTTTGTGCATAGGAGCGAATGTGAGGGTTATCGATAATACGTCACAGATGCATTATAAATTCGAAAACAGAAGTTCCCATATGTATAGTGATATCAATTTTAAAAACATTCATAACTTTGGTACCGTTTGTTCGGTTTCGTTCAAACATTCGCCAGTCAACTTCATTCAAAACAAAATGCCAAATTATAAATGTTGGATTTCATCTTAAAGAAACAGTCATAAGGAATTCTAAAGCTTTAATAAGCTTGGGAATCCTTCAATATTTTACAAATCAAGTTTTTATTTGGGCAATGCGGCTTTATGCTCTTCGAGTTTCTTCAGTGAAGTGTTCAGGTTCAACATGAGCTCCATCAGCAAATCATCGGCATCCTCCTCCTCATCATCGTCGACTTCATGTTCCACATCATTGACCCCTTCATTGCTGGTCTTCTGCAGCTCCTGAAGGGAGAGTGCTAGGTCTTCTTCTTCCTTGTCGACGTCGTTTACGCCTCCGACGTCCTCTTTGTACTCTCCAAACATTGCCTCTTCTTCCTCGTCAGTTTCATTTATTGCTTTTATGAAAAAGTAAATCATTATATAGGTTAACATTAAGACATAACATTAATTTTGTTTCATATGACAAGATACAAAAATTATTGGGCTGCAATCATGGATACAGGTTCTAAATCTTACTGATCAAAATTAATTCTGATCTAAATCTTAATTAAATTTAGTTTATATAAAATAAATGAAATCATTTGTTAAACTAAAAATCAACATTCTGGTAGTTTTAAAACTAGCATAATAGGTTTCGGGTCGTCGTCGATCTGGCTCTCATGACTTCCGTTATGCGCGTGGATGCAAAAGTGCAAATTTGATTGTCGGCGCGTTGTGTGTAAGCGCGCCCCTCCCCTCTATTCTCAATGCAGCCTTGAGTTCAGGGGAAATCACTCTGTTCCTTAAATTGAAAAGATTTATTTTTTGAATACAGAGTAGCTCATCATCATACCATTTCGTGGTTCCATAAGAGGTACTTGACTTTGGGGATTCTTCTTCTTGTCCTCGAGATCTTTGAGGAGGTCATCCAGAGTTATTCCCTCACCTTCGAATGTTTGCATATCAAAAAGCAGAGCATGTTCGGCGGTGTTTATGTCTGCAAAAGGTGTTCAGAATAGAATATAACAAAGATTTATCATAATTTTGAATATAATATTTATAATTGTATGTAGACAAACAAATTATACTAGTACTAAATAATTGGGACTGTGATTATGATTATGAGTATTAGTATTATTGGTAGTAGTAATACTAGTAGTGATAGTAGTAACATTAGTAGTAGCAGTAGTAGTAGTAGTATTAAAGTAGTAGTAGTAGTAGTAGTAGTGGTAGTAGTAGTCGTAGTAGTAGTATAGTACAGTAGTAGTACTAGTAGTAGTAGTAGTAGTAGTAGTAGTAGTAGTAGTAGTAGTAGTAGTAGTAGTAGTATAGTGGTAGTAGTAGTAGTAGTCATTTCAATTGTTTTAATATCTGAAAATAGCTTTTTATATTTCAATGCAAAGTCTTTTGTCTATATCCGTAAAAGAGAAATTTGTAAGGAAATATATTAAACAATTAATTTTGTTTTGATTTGTAAGTTAAAAGAGAGTGTGCTACCGCTTTTGTCGCAATTAACCGAGATCAGACTGTACAAGACTAATAATTATAGCAATTAAACTTACCTTGTTTTTTCTTTGCCGCCATAGCTTGTAAAACTGTAGGGGGTGGGGGTGGGGGTCAGAACAAAAAGAAGAGATTCTGAATAAGAATGTAAATAGTTACCCTAAAATATGTTAGAATTCTATTTATCTAAGGCAACATTCTTACCGCGGAGCATCAGAAAATTGACAGTCTGAGACTTAACGTAGGCCTACTCATGATTTCGTTCCAATTTAGGGGCCGCGTTTCATAAGAATTCTAAGCAATTACAAGTTGCATTAAGCTACTGAAATTATTGCATTTGATTGGCAGAGGACAGACAAGTGAAGGTGACAGTGTGGCAGCCGTATACATGTATATACCTTCTTCTTGGTGAAGTTCTTCGTTAGTGAAAGGTCGTTCTGCAAAGACACTAGCTTCCATTTTCTGTCCTCCCATTCCCGGATTTGGTCTCAGATCTATTGAAAGAAATACACATTAGAACTACTGCAATCGGGGTATTTCAATGGATGTGATAGAACTATACATCTTTCGTCACTAACATTATACAACGCCAACATGTCTTTAAAAGTTAGAACCTCCAAATTTGTCAGATATTGTATACATGGCCAATATTGCATGCTCCGGCGTTCTATACCGTTTAACAAAATATATAATTATGAACCGATGAATTCAGAATATCCCCGCGAGCGAGTTAATATTTCACCGAGGCCGTAGGCCGAAGTTGAAATATAGTGGCAAAAGGGAAAAATCTGAATTTCGAGGTGAATATATGTTATTTATTGAACAACGAAATGCATTTAACATTTGATATAATTATATATAAACATGTAAATGGTCTTTGCGATCCTTTTGGGGTTCAGGCCTTCTCAATTAGATTCAGGTTGCTTTCGCGTCAGATGCGCGCAGCTCAGACAATGTAATTTTCCTACTTTAATATCTAACAAATTATAATTTTTATTTTTGTACATGTAAGTGAGAAATGTGATTGGATTGTTGAGATGTATGCAGACTAACAAAATACGGCATAATTGTCTCTAAAAAGGTAAACCTAAATCACTCTTTGCTTTCCAAAGGACAAACAAAAACATAATGGAATATAATGTAGTAAGAAGGAAAAAAAAGAAGAAAAAAAAGAAGCTTAATTAACTTCGAATTGTAACATTCCTTTTTATGTGTTACATAATGATTGGATTGTTCTGATTTTTATAGACCAGCAAAACATGACATTATTATTCTTTATAAGAAGAGTACTAATTTCTTTAGCTGTCCTATACCGGAATATAAAAATAAATTCAACATGTGTAATGTGCAAGGGCGTTAAACTATTACTTTAAGATCTAAATATATCTCTCTTTCCTTTCTGAAAAAGGGCATACAAAAACATGATGGAATTCATCACCAAACTCATGCATATCACAACTTGGGCATTCAATACTAATTTCATTCTAAGCATCTTTGAATCTGTTATTAATATTTGGTAAACGGTGTGACCAACATCTAAATGGCTCGATGGTATGGGAGGGGCTACATATATTATGGCATGAACTCCGAACACAATACCGGGATAGAGATAAGGGGCTAAGGTCTTTGCCCCTTTCCACGGATGACCCTTTTGAGCGAATAAACGAATCTGCGATAGAACAGCTAGCCGGAAAGTATACCTTGAGGTGCAGGGGCGATATTTTCTGAAAAGACGTCATCCTCTAGCAGTTGGTTCTCGTATCCCTGTAGCATCGTATCGATTCGATCAGCATCCTTCCGATAAAGAACGGTCAAAGCCTGGCATATAGAAGAAACAAATGTGAAGGCTAGCAAATAATATGAATAATTATGTTTATTCAAGGAAGACTTATCTGTATCAATTATCATTACCCTAGCAAATGATATTTACCCGTATAAGGATAATTACCCCCTGGAAAATCACCCCCGCAAAATTACCCCGCAAAACAACCCCCAAGGACAATAATCCCCCGCAAAATTACCCCGAGGACAATTACCCCGCCCCCCCCCCCAGGACAACTACCCCCACGAGGACAGAGAGCGGATATTCAATTTCGTTTAACATGGCACCGTACATATAACTTGAGGGCAATCTTTATTTCAAAATGAATTACTGTACAAGAAAACATATTTTTACTTCAGCATGACAACAAAAATATAATATAACGTGAAGAAAACCTAAATTTTTGAATAGATTATGGATGAGGACCCATTATACATACAAGGACAAATACATGATCAGCTGATTATAAAAGTTACAGAGGATCCATCAATAATGAAAATATCTCATCCTAATTTCTTTGTTGGGCCATGTTGGGGAGACAGGCTGTAACGCGTACTCATCTGTGTGCAATGTATTGTTACATATCTAAGAGATGCACACTATGAATATGACAGACAAAGAAAGCGGACAAAATATACAATTCCTGAGGTAGATAAAGGAACATCCCTTCACTGCTATTATGTAAAAATGTGTAGAACAGGTGTCACATGCATATTCACCTGTTCTACACATGTTTACATAATAGCAGTGAAGGGATGTTCCTTTGTCTACTTGAGGAACTGTATATTTGTCCGCTTTCTTTGTCCGTCATGTTCATAGTGGCAAGTTCCGTTCTTTACTCGGTGGCAGAACTAAGAGGGAATTGGGGAATATCCACCCCCGAATCGAATTGATTAATTTGAAAAGACTGAAAAGAACTTGAAATCGAGAGAAAGGAAAATAAAGAAACAGGGGGAGGGACACCGTTCCTATATATTAGGCGGATGAAATGCGAGTTTACAAAGCAACCGATTAGGCAATGTGTTTGGGAGAGGTCCTATATTTTTGTTCGCACTCCTCTTCCATTCTCCCTCCCCTTTCCCTCCCACTCTCTCTCTCCTTCTATTACAATGTTGTTCTGCCATTCGATTATTGGGTGCTAGCAACCGCCCCCGCTAGCTACGCAACTGACATGTACTGACCTGAACAATAAGTTTCCTCAGATACAGGTCATCATCTACAGGGTCGCGATACGGCATGATGCCTTCATGCACCGCCTCTTCTTCTCCCCACTCGCCATCAGCTTCTACGCCGTCATCTTGCGCGCCTCCTTCTCCCACTAACCCCTCATCCTTCGCCTCCTCCGGATGTTCGACGACGAGATCGGATTCCATTTCGTGTTTGGCGGGTACACTCTCGGGTAGCTGTTGTTCGACTGGTGTTGGAATGTCTGGCACCTTCTCAACCGGTGGTCGTGCGATCTCCTCCTCTTCGTCAGTTTCATCGACTGGTTCAATGTCAGCCTCGTCTTCATCGTCGTCGCCTGTCGTTTCTACAGGAACCTGGGGTTCGAGCTGGTCTAACTGATAAAGTGATAACAATTTAATGTCATAGAGTGCGTTTCCATATTTGATGAAAGTCGTATACAAGACTGCAATAACAAATACAATCAAGTTAAGTCAAACGGCAATGTACATGTAATTAAAATTACCAACGACGTGTTTTCTTAAAATGTGTTGAATACATTTTGATTAATTTCGCTTCTTGGTCCCTCCCCCTATAACAAAAGAGTATATCACCCGTTTGTGTAATCTGATTAAAACTATCAACGCTTCCATTCAACTAACAACTCTCGTGTTAGTACTTTAATTCAAAGTGTACATTATAGATGTCTAATCCCCAAAAGCAAAGGCATCTGATTGTGTAGATATAATGTTTCATATTTTATGCAAAAGAATCGTAACGAATATCAAGAATGTATTAACTTTTCTCTCCTTCTCCTCTAACTGTGTTACTATGATTGGACTAAATTTGGGTAATTTAATTGTAACGCATATTTAGCTTTAGTTGTGATATCTAGAAGGTGACGCACAATCAATAGAAACGCGGAACAAACGTTTACATTTTAAAAATTACCAACCACGAAGAGCACCTTTATCAGGAATCCACACACGAATATAAAACACACACACATAGATACGTTTATATTCTTTTAATCGTGAACAACTTAGAAGGGTGCCTCAAGTTCTCTAATGTGACAAACAGGAATGGAATCATTATTTACCAAACGAATTAAATCGCAATTCCAGGAGTAAATATGTTTACTCAAGTCACATCACAAAGGGAGACAAAGAAACATCACGACAAAACTAAGAGAAGCAAATGCAATGCATGCACATTTCCGTTATCGCAACTGTCATTAAGGTGTAATCAGTGCAAATCACCGAGTTTAATCTTGCAGTCAATCAACAGACTGAATTTAATCGGGGTGACGTGAGTGGGGTTCTTGGATTTCATTACGAAAAAATATAAAATACCTATCTGACAAGAAGGGATACTTATGTTTAGAAAATGAGAACACTCCAAATGTCTTTACTGTACAAAAGAAGAAGAAACAATCTTATTCGAAATATTAATTATAAGGTAAAGTTAATTTTCAGTTATAATTAAAAGCCTCTATAATTATATACCCAACTTTTATTAGTTATCTTTTCAGCATCTCATTAAAAGGAGATTTTTTTTTTTTACTACTGCCCGTGATATGGATTTTTTTTTGTATGAAATGATATAGTCTTTGAAACCACTTATATTTTAGCTAAAAACTTTTAGTCTGTCTTAATATGAGTGCATTGTATAATCTAGATCTGAGATAAAAAAAATAGAAACTAACAAGTGAAAAAAGGAATAATGTATAAATACTTACGTCTGCTTCTAGTTCCTCCAGCTGAGGATGAATTATTGAGAGAAGAAACAAGATAAACATAATCGAGAAAGATAATAAGGGACAAATGACTCAGTGGTGTAGCTACGAGATCACGGGGGCACTGCCCCCTCCCCCCCCCCCCCATCGAATCGAATACAAAAAAAGGTAAAGAAACACAAGAGAAAAAGAAAGAAAGGCAAAGAAAGAAGGGGAAGAGTACAAGAAAAGAAGACATCGGGACCATTCACCCCTCATTAATTGGCATGTCATTTCCTGAGTAAAACCTTTGCCCCCTCAATGGACTGACTCTACCCCATTAATGGGACTACTAACAGATAAGTCTGACATGTTTGATGCACAGTAGTAGACATGTCTGCAAAATGATCTCTAAAATTACATCGCTATTATAATAGTGCATGCAGCGAACCATAATGAAGGGGACTCGTTATAGACACAGGTACCCCCACAGATTGATGTTTGTCTTTGTCTCACGGTGTTGTAGAGTTCTGATTTGACTTAGGAAATTATTTGGAGTAGGATGTGAGTGCCATGTCAAACGAACAGGTCACCTTTCCCGAAATAATAAGACAAATAAAAAATGCGCCAACGCTGGTAATTGCAATCGTGTGATTGAATCCGTTCGTCGAAAAGGAGTAACCGTGGTAACTGTTGAGTATTTACTATATCTCTAATGAATTCTTTTTTGTTGTCTGCTATCAACTAAATGTATTCGAATTTATGGATGCTTCCTTCCCAGATTTGTGTAGTAATGAAGCATTTCATTCACCTGCTATTATCCTTTGTACTACAATTGTCAGAAAATAAATTGCATGAATAAGTTGGTTCTCTTCTGGGATGAAGGTTCCGCAAAAATGAAATAGATTTGTCAACTGCTATATTTTATCATTTTTAAATGAATGAGTTCCAATTGTTACAATGTTATATATTTTTCATAATTTCTATCTCATTAGCTATGATTTTCCTCAATGAAAAGTAAAGTTTTGTTGATTGATTTGAAAAGTTTTTCCAACTAAAGCTCGATGCATGATACATGTACAACTTCAACTGGTACGTCAAATTTCCAAGAAAAAGGCTGTGCCCATGTCATGCTAAAAGGCATCTCATTATGCACAGAATATTTTCATTTATATGTCGCTTATACGTTTTCGTAAGGAATACCAGTGGCGGATCCAGGGGGGGGGGGCCCGGGGGCCCGGGCCCCCCCCCCCCCCTTGAGAAAAAAATCATGTAAAATCACGTCATTTTTACCTTTTTTTGGGGTTGGGCCCCCCCCCCTGGCGCTCAAGGGGGGGGTGCAAATTGAAATTTTTTTGAGGATCAAAAAAAAAAAATGTGCTCACCCCCCCCCCCCCCCCCCCCACTGAGCGACTTTTCGGCCGGCGCGATTTTCAAATTTTCGGGCCCCCTCCCCTAAGAAATCCTGGATCCGCGCCTGAGGAATATTGTGCATCAAAGGGCAGGAATACACTCATTATTTGGGTGAGGTTTCCAATAATAGTTTGTGCTGAAAGCTTTACTCACCTTTTCTTTGAGCAACAGCACATCTCCCTGTGAAAAAAGAGATAAGAGAAGAAAAAAAGGTTATTTTGTGATTGTTGAAAACCTCCATTCAAATACATTTCATTGACCAACACTTGTATACAAGTGCCGCAAGAGGCAAGTTCTCTAGCCAAGTATTAGACAAACTGATTCCAAGTTTGACGTGAAATGGTGAGCTAATACCTTCATGTACTTTATACTTATGGACCCGTACTCTACTAAAATTTAAACCTGACGATATGTTCAGCCTCGTTTTCTTCTTTTTCTCTCTCTCTCTTAAAAAAGACACACAATCAGGTGTAAAAGAGGAAGTTAGTCTGCTCATGTCTAAGTTTTCTTTCGGTAAACGTGATTCAGCCAGGGGCAGGGCTATGTTTGACTCAATGATTAGAAGGACATTTGTCACTCAGTCTTTTTCGAGGTTGGTAAAGCGTTAACAGAACTATGTTAATGATGGGCATACCTTCATCAACATGACAATATTCTGCACTTAGATGAAGACCCCCGGCCCCCGCCCCCTCAAATTCATTGAAAGAACAGTGATACGGGTGGGTTGTCTAAACTTGGGAGAAGGTTAGTAATAACTTTTAAGAAATAGAATCGAAAGTAGGCAAAAACAGAGAGAAGACAAGAAAAAAAATGAAACGGGGTTGACAAAAGAGAATATTGAAATGGTAAACTTCATCTCAGTGTTAGTATTAGAGAGTCTTATGGTCAGTAGCATACAATGGCTTTTGCTTAGTATAGATGCTATTTTTTCAACTATACCTCATGACAAATTTCGATAAAAACATATGTGTCACTGACATGATATTATTTATAAAATAATTATCATGATAAAGGAAATGAGCTGGACTGGACAAAGGATAACTTCGTTGAGCTTTATTTTTAGAAATCATAGTAATAATAAAAACAAAAAAACAAGTAGTTAACTTACCTTTGTGATATGAGATGGTACATCTTGAACACTCTTTGCTTGAGGAGGTACATCTTCTGTCCCAAAGAAGAAAACAAAATAAAAGAAGATTTATCTGTAATCCTAATTATCAAAGCGTCTGTTTGGAGTAAGAAGAGCCCATATTTGCTTTAAACACAGAGTTGACACCCTTCTGGTTCTGAACTGAGGATAGACGTACGCAAAACTTTGCTAAAGAGTAGAACGAAATCTGCCTAGACCTCTACATAGGATTGAGGGTTGGGGGGGGGGTACTATAAGGGGCTGTCCCACGTAATGTACATCCATCTCAGGGTTTATTTTTTACTTAATGTTTATCCTTCTATATACAGGGACGAACATGGGCTTCACTCTGTAGTGGATACAACACTGATCATTATAGGCCTATGGTTTAATTGATGAATTCAGCACCATTACCATGGTAATTATGATAAAATAATAAATGCTAACAAAATAATTTGTGTCATTGTGAAAGAATTGTAAAAAAAGATGTTGCCATGGACAAAATATGAAGAAACTAAAAGTGAAAGGAAGTATATAAGAGGGGCAAGGCAAAACGAAAGACAAATAAAAACGCGTGCTCCTTGAACAGATCTGTAGACATTATAGGCTTTATAGCACAATGGTTTGCATGGAAATAACATTCTATTTTTGTTTACCCAATTCCTCTGTCCATTTATACTAACACGCGCTCTCTTACAAACATGTCACCATGCAGTAGTATTTAAGCAAATCTGCTAAACAGCGCTATATAACATTTTCTCAGTGTTTCGTCTGCTCCCTCCCCAGTCTAGCCCATAATGTTATTTACCAACTATAGGTTACCGTGTATTCCTTTCCTTTTCCATATGTATTTTCCCATTTAATTAAATAAGGAAAGTTTAACAGGATGGAGGATTCTTTCTTCTGATTGAAAGAAGTGAATATTCCCTGTTCTCAGACCTGAAGTATAATAATAGAGTCATTGTGTATTTTCCCCCTCACCCCCACGTTGATAACTTACGCATTCAGACCTGAAGTATAATAATAGAGTCATTGTGTATTTTTCCCCTCAAAATGTATATTAACTTCCGTGTACAAATCATTAAAGAACATAAAAAATAACTTAAACTTACGTTTTGCTGGGGCACCAAAGATGCATGAGACCACAGTCAACACAAGCATGAGGATGGGAAGGGCTGCTTTCCGAGCCATAATGAACAGCTGAAATTGTTACCCTCACAAGAAGAATGCAATATGAAACAATTATACGACTATACAGCGACGGAACAAAATTCCAAATGAGTATTACATGGAAGATGTTGATTCTTATAAATAGTTTGGGTTCGGTGCTAGGTTTACTTTTGAGGTCCAAAGTCTCAAAAGGATGTTTGCTCTGACTAGCCCAATAAAGACCAATAAAACTCGATCTCGTTTAAGCAAGTTTAGTTGTTGTTTAAAGAGTTGCGTATACACATTCTGTAGTTTTCTTTGCTTAATTAAGGACGTGGGAGACAAAATCTGGTAGGGGCGGGTCAAAGATTGTCCGAAGTGGGGGGGGGGGGGCAAAAATATTTCCTGACTGTATTATTTTTTTCTTTTCTTCTATGGAGCATGATTTGGAGAGTTCCGCTCGTCCTACTGATGCTCCGAAAGGAGGGGTGTCGCCTTAATTCCTTCCCCAATAATTTATCTTATGCTCTTTTCTCCCCTTTAATATAAATAGGGCATTTTTTCAAACCCCAGCCCGCACCCATTCCCTGGCCCCGCCTAAGAATGTAGAAGGAAGGGTCACACATGAATATTACAGTGGACATGTTTGTACAATATGTTTGCATGTTATATAGGCTATGACAAGAACATTATTAGTGCGTGTGGATAAAGATTATGCTCTGTGTGCACTTAGTTTTGACGGTTGCTGTAAAAAGATAATTTTATGTCCTTATCCAATTTCATCCTTCGTAGAGAAGTGTTGTTTAGGCATTAGAATTTCATTATTTGTCATAAACCTTGAAGAAACCGGACCAAATCACTCTTAATTACAAAGAGCGAGAGAGAGAGAGAGAGAGAGAGAGAGAGAGAGAGAGGGTGCTAGAGGGGGAGACGGAGGTGGAGAGAAATCGAGGCAGAATCCCGGCCCCCCCACTCAGTGTTATTTAGGGTACGCATATGCTCGTACCCTCTTTTTGAAAGCACCCCCTATCTGAGGACTGCCAACATTTCCGAACCCCCCTTTCGCGGGCTTTTCGCAGGCTTTTCCTGCCTTGGAGACCCCCCTAAATCAGGAAAAATGCTCAATGTACCCCCCTAAATTCGGAATTATTTCTCAGGAGTCCAAAGAGATGAGAGAAAAAATGAAAAACACCCCCTTTTTAAAGAAATCTCCGGGTAAAAAGTCAAATACACCCCTTTTTTTACAATTCTCGGGCCGGACTTTGTCGCACGAAAAGTACCCCTTTACCGGACATTTTGGCAACACGCATGCGGTCATATCGACCTCTGAGTGGGGGGCCGGGGGCAGAATCCGACGTCAAATTCGTCGATATGTTTGTTTAAGTTCTGTGTCCTTGTCGATAGCAAGTCCACGTCACATTCCAACAGACATTAGTCATTCTAAATCAAATGAAACACCTTTTACGGTTTTTAATTTTGTCAGTCAGTTAATCATAATTATAGGGTGCAATTTTTATATTGAATATGTAGGATAAGGAGACACGTCCCACCTCCGGTAATCACACCCCTCCGTCCAAAAAATCCAGAGTGGTATTTATTTCAATTCAGCACACACTTTTTTTGCGCTTTCGCTCAGCATCCTTATGTGTATATATCTTCCCATTTTCTCCTTCTCATAATACGTTAATCTATCTCTTTTGTAAATATTTCCCATGTGTATTTGCTTTTAGTCTGTTAGGGTAGTTTAGTTGTTAAGTATTTTTTCTTCAAAGAAATTAAGTATAAAGGTATTATATTCTGTTTGGGGACCTTGCTCTAACAAGCCCAGCTTCTATAAGGTCCCCTCTTCTTTTATGTACAGAACATGATCTTACATAAGTAACTTTTTTTTTATAGAATGTCTTTAGTTTCTGTTAATAACAAGAGCTGTAAGTTGAACATTACTATTACGCTTCAACTTATGTTTGTTTTATTGATAAGCTGCTGTTCCAGTTACTTTATTTGAAATTCTATGTACAAATGTTTGTGAAAGAAGAAATAAAATGAACTATGAACTATGAACTTTGTTTAATACACTTTCAAGTGGGTAGGCCTAAAGTTCAACTTTTGCAATGAAAGTGTTGAAGAAATTCTTAAAATTAAATCTTCTTCTAAAAAATATAAAACACCTATATCCCGGCTTTATGCACATTTTAGTCATAACCAATTTGAAAGAATATATTTTAACATGTTCAGAGGGAAGAGGGAGAGATGCAAAGTGACCTTCAATTAAATTGCATAACGTATGTTGCGCTTCAAATCCACATAATTTTGTTGAATAAGAACTTTACCTGCTAGATATGGTTTTCAAAGTAATTTTTAAACAATGGAATAATTTAGTCCATATAAAATTTATAGCCTATATAATTATTAAAGATAATGTAAATTTTGCGAAATTTTGAAAATTTGATGGATAGTATTTCTTTAAAATGTTAATATATTTGGATGCCCCTGTGGATGTATTATAAGCACTTGAAAATCTAGCCCCTATAACACTTCTGCTTTCGAGAAGTTTAACAATCAATAATTTACCGGTGCTCCCGGTCAATTTCAAAGATTTCAAATAGCGCCTAAGGTCATTCCATGGTGCAGCTGCGACCATAAAAATCTCAGGATATGCAGTGCTGATATATAATTTTTAAACGGGAAAAGCAAATTGTTTGGTTGTAGTCAAGAAACATTGTTTTAAAGCTAAAGTAATATCAGTCTTGAGAGGGAGCTTTACAACATATAAAGAGTTTATCATTTATAATTTCATCAGTTAATATTCGATTTCAACCGCGACAACGATCATTGAATATTGTAAAATCGCGTATGCTTCCAATATGTTCAATTGAAACAATTTCATGACCCCGGCAATACCAAAACTCAGTTATATTAATTACCTTTAAACGATTTCAAAGGCAGGCCGGCCCTTTATCAAAGTAAGCTAATTTCAAGTTCTCCGAGGTAAGGCCTATAATTAGGTAGCTCGGGGTCCACTTGCTATTCATAAGGACCGCTATTCATAAAGGCAGCTATATTCATAATTTGAGAAAAGGATCATTATCAGTAAGGGTCATTATTCATAAGGACCGCTGCGTTATAAATTGACGAAGAGGGTCGCTATTCATAATATGAGAAGAAGATCGCTATGTGAATTATGAATTAGCGACCCTCATCCCGGCCCTCATCTCGCATTATAAATAACAATCCTGGATGACGAATAACGGAATTTATGCCTTTTTATGAATGATGGGTCATCCCCTTTTGGTTCATGAATACTAGTAGCGGCCCTTCACGTATACTTTAGGAAGTTACCGAGATTAACCCGCTCCATCCCGCCCGGGCCTATTCATAATTATTAATGTACTTTTACCAGTCTCTTTTTTATGTAAAAGATTATTATGTTTTTTGTAGTTTTGAATAAAAATGAACTTGAACTTGAAAGCGGGGAAAAAAGAGGAAAGAAGGTTTTAATAGAAAGGAGGAATGTGATGAAAATGCACGACTAAATGGTGAAGGGAAATCAAATATAATTAATCGTGCACAGTAATACTTCGCTAAAACACACGGTGAGCCAACTCTTAACTCGAAAACAGAAGTCTGGAAAGACACAACCCCCCCCCCCCCCATCAATAAAAGTGAGCCATGATCTGAGATCAAGTTCGGAAAGATGAACATACAAAGAAGGAACGCCGTGGCGCCACTGATCTCTACGGAAAAATCGTAGAGATCAGTGCGTGGCGCAGATAATCTGTCAAGATTGAAGAGCGCCATCTAAACGCCATCTAAACTATGATCATTTTAAGAGGAAATTAAAGGAATACCTGATACTTGACAGTCAGAGAAGAGAAGTGAATGACATGTTATATGATTGAAATTTTTATTCTTCTGTCGGTTCATACTTTTTCATGTTGTATATACTTATGTTTTCGTACGTTATAGAATTTCTACAAATTCATCATTATTTTCCTCTTCTTCCTTCTCCTCTTTTTCTTCTTCTCCTTCTTCTTTTTCTTCTTGTACTTAATATCATTTCTATCATCAGTTTAAATGTTGTTATTATTATCTTTAATAAGTAGTTCTTTTAATTTTCTTATCTGTCTGTAAATATTACTATTTTAACTTATTAATTTTATACATGTCTGTAAGGGACCCCACTGGAAATAAGCTCTCGAGCTTTCGTGGGTTATCCTGTTCAAGCTGACTTTTTTTGATCTGTTATTATTGTATATTGTTGTATGTTGGAAGCTTGTCGAATAAAAATCAATCAATCAATCACGCCAACAACAACAACGTAGTCTACGTGTGGCCTGGCTGCGCAATTTTTTTTTACACGCTAGCCTGCTGGCTGTGAGCTGTGTGAAAATCACAGTCGAGTCTGGTTTGCAGACTAACGACATTGTCATTCTTATCCGCTTTCGCTGGTAAGTAAAGCATGCATTTCCCCTTTGATATTGTATATGTACAATTTGAGAAAGATGATGTACAGAAATAAGAATTAGATATGAGTGTGGCGTCAATATGAAATGGATTAGTAGTCCATTTCAACTTAAAATGAGCTTAAATGTGTCGTATTTTTAACAATATGCATGCATGTCTTTGTGTACAGTCCCACACGTTTGATAATGTGCACGCTGAAGTTCTGCAATGCAGTCTTCTTCTTGTTTGGGTTAAGTCACGCAGAGGTGCATTACTATCCTGGCTGTGTATTAGAAGCTGTGCTATTGATTCTCAACATTTTAAACACCACTGTTCAAAACTGAACTGATTTTACTTAAAATCAGAGCTTTAGTGACGATTGATGACACCTAAAAGTAAAATGGCGGGCGCTTGTATAGACCTAGATCTAGGGATTGATATCGTTATAACCGATACCGATACCGATATGATCGGGATAGGGATCGAGAGAGGAGAAAATGGACGATTGTCTGTAAGATTCTGATTGTTGTTTCTAAGACCGTTGTCGCCTTATTAAAGGTGTTTTAACCCAATTCCTGTCTGAGATCTAATCCTTCCTGTCTGTACCTAGTGAATCCCCTTATACTTGTTCAGAAACCTAACTTTTGTTAGATCTATCCAAAATTTGACCCGTAACTCCGGCGTGGAAAAAGCCTCCTAAACACTCCCAAAATGAAGTAAATATTCATTAAATGTCCAAATAAAGATCATGAGTTGAAAGTCGTTATGTTTATTACCTGTTTTGTGTCAATTTTCTTGTTATTTTTGGAGTATTTTTCGGATAAACGTACGACTTTACTCTACAAAGAGGACTGTACTCGATGGAAGAAGGAGAAGAAGATATTAGTATACACTTTTTCACAGGTTTCACGGCAAACCGCTGCACAATACAAGTACATACCGATGGTGGGTTGCGGGCGGCGCGCGCCTGTCTGAAGTTATCTACCGTAATGATGACCTGAGAGTGAGACATGGTAGAAAACTCCACACAGGCGCGCATTTTTTTTCTCACCGCGCACAAGCGCGTTAAATCTTCATGTAAAATCGTATACACAAATTAGGTCGTAGTATGTAATGAGACACGATGGAGGAAAATCAGAGGCGGTTTCTTCAGTTTTTCTACATGATTTTGAGCTGTGAATCAGCTGGAGCTTACAGAACTGAATTATTACGGTCATTTAAAGTAATAGTATGATTTTGGCGCATCGCATTCAAAAGCAAATATTTCAACAATTTTTATTTTCTCTCATTTGTTTTGTACATGTGTGTACAAAACTGGTGCCTCTCAGCACGTATACAACACTGGAGGTCAATACGCATTAGCATGGACTACTATACTGTGCTTTGCTGCAGTGGCACACACCACTCCTACAATGCATGTAGTCAAACTAAACGGGATGGACCTCATACCAGCGGATGTGCTGAGAGGAAAAAATTTGAACATCTTTTGAAAGTTCTATTTGTACATGAGACTTCATTGAGTAGTTGAGCCTGAGAGTAAAGAGTGTCAGAGATGGAGGCTGTAGAAACAGTGTAAATACAACTGCATTTTAGATCTTTAAAGTTTGAAATATTAGCATTGCGCAAAATGAAATGCTGCTGTGTTAAGTGTATAAGTGAAACCGTATTTCAAAAACGTCAAGATTTTCCTGACATAAACAATCTTATAACATTCAATTAATTACATGTACCGTAGGTTTACAACTGTGAATGTATGATTATCTGTGTTGCCATGATTGTTTTGAATCACTGAAAAACAAGTGCATTTGAGTGAATGGTACACTAAGAAATTAACCTTCGCAGGTATGCTATATATCATGCCATGATGGTTTAATTGATAGATTCTCCTAATTCATGTAATTCATTTATAACTCGTATTCTCTTTTTACCGATTTATCACACTCAACAGGCACTTGGATTGGTTAGGAAATTGGTATATTTTATGCAGTTGTTGAGCAGATCTGTGTAAGAAGTATGGATTTGACTGAAGGGTCAACCGGTCAATCTCTGATGTCATCATCTGGAGGCGCAGGAGGTCTCTTCAGCATCACTGGCTTTGAAGAAGATGTTTCAAAAGATGACTCACAGCTGTCAGTAGAGGGCAGGTAACAAAATACCCCAGTTTACAGTGTCATGTTGAGTCAATACTTTGTCTAGAATATTTTTGAATTTGACTAAAAATACTTGTATTCAAACAAAATTATATTCATATTGTAGTGAAACTATAAAGGGCACTTATTCCACAAGGCTCATTGCAGCATTGTGTTAAATTTCCCATGGGCTAATATACAACTCTAATAATTGACATGTTTGTTTGTCTTGTACAACTGTTTGTACATTTTAGAAATTGTATTAGTAAACTGAATTAAACTGAACTACATGGTACTTGGTTGGGTAATCCCTTTGGCAGCTCACTCAGGAAGCTATACTATACAACAATTATATTTCATTGTTTGATTACATCCTTGCAGCTTCAATGATTCCAATACACCTGATGTGAGTGCTTCTCTGGACCAATCTCTCAGTAATCCGCAAATCATCACAGATATATCTCAAGGTAAGAAGAAAGTTCTGTATGGATGGATGGATAGGTACATGTAGATGATAAGTAAATTGTTTAAAACTCTTTCTTGGCTTTTGTGAACAAGGGGATTACGAAAGGCGACTGCCATGGTTTATTTCTGTCACAATTACAGTGTACATGTATAAGATACTCTGAACATTGTTTCAGTCTGTAGAGTGATGTTCCATAGTAGTAAAGAGTATAATGTAGCCAATCACCTATTTCATTATTTATGTATAGCTAGTAGATCTAAAATCAACCCCAAAAGGACTTATTACTGGTAATCTGTGGGGAACATTTGAGGGATTTTAAAAGAAGATAAAGGATAGCATAAAAACCTTGCTCACAGAACCCCAGTTGGACCAGGGTACCCTATGAGTGCTTGTACGTACAGGTTATTCCTAATAATTATTTTGTCATTGGTTTTACGTACATGAAGGTCTCTATTAAACAAGCTCAGGAAATGATGATCAAATATTTTTGAGAAATGAGTAATGAATACTTAAATTAAAGAAGTTTTGCTTGCAAGTACCAGTAGTACATAGCTATTAGATGTGACATGTCAGGATTTCACTATACTCATTATATTGTTTTTGTTTGTCCAAAGTTGAGATTTTGCAGCAAGACACACCATCTCAAGATGCAGTTGAAACCGGTAAAGATTCCGAGGTGAGAATGGCATAAATACTTGGGTTATTTGTGTAGCTACATCATACATGTATCTGTATAGATGTAATAATTTAGTGTTATGAAACCATATTCAGTCATAAAGAAGTACCTTGTACTATAGAAGTACTATAAAGCTAATCTTTATGTCTCATAATGTTTGGAAATAAATTTTCACAGATTTAAATGAAATTAACAATGAAGAGGTTTTGGACTACAGATAAATATAGGTTTTCAACTTTTTTTTAAAGAAATGTATAATTGCTGATTAATGTCTCAACCATGTACATGACACCCAGTCCCATATATCCAACTGTGAGATGTATTCTGTGAGTGCGATTCTCAGCAATTTCTTATAACTACAAGAAGAAGTAATTCTGTCTCTAGAGATAATAATCAATATAACTTAAAAGATATGAAAGCTGTGAAGTTCAAATCTTTAACTGACATTTTTTCAACTGGCTATGTAATTCTGCTCAAATGTTTTGGACTTTAATAGTAACCCTGTATTTCTTAGATGGAAATGAAAATGTTGAGAAATTGTGTTTTTGTGTAATTCCTCTACTGAAGAATTGCCCTTTGTAGAATAATTTTGAAGGATTAACATTTGTTTCCCCAACTCTAGGCAGCCTCAAAGGGTAAAGGGGGCTGGCCGAAGGGGAAGAAGCGTAAGGTGAAGCCCCTGCGAGATCACAATGCTCCCAGGGCACCTCACACAGGGTATGTCCGCTTCCTCAAGGAGGGACGGGAGAAGGTACGAGAAGATAACCCCAACATGAGCTTTGCTGAGATCACCAAGCTACTAGCTGGACAGTGGTCTAAGATGTCTGCTGTTGACAAACAGGTGAGAGTTGAGAGTTGATGTCACACTCTGTGGTTCAAGTAGATATGTATTATTCAAGATGTGAGGTGTATTGCCTGTTTCTTCTCCTCATGTATTGAATAATTACAGTGGAACAGCAAGATTCATAAAAATCATACCTGGCCTTGACATTTCAGGGTCGGGGGAAAAATAACAATGCAGCTTTATATGACTGATTTAAATCAATGTTTTGATTAATGTGATTTGAATCACAATTTTCATAAAAGGTAAATAATTCACCAACCCTGAATAATTTAATCATGTTTCTTCTCAGTATTTGTTATAATTACGGCACATCCTAATTCAGAATATCTCTCAGCTTCTATTATCACTATATACATTAGTTGTTTTGATTTTTTAAACCAAATCATGTTTAGTTAGAGAACTTTAGGTTAATGAAATAAGTATGGTATATACCATTTAAAATGAAATCAAACAGAAAATGTGTATCTTACAAAGAAATAATCACTCTTTTTCATCCATTTGTATTCTAACCTTAATCATCTGTTGCTATAGCGATTCCTGGATGAAGCAGATCGAGACAAGGAGCGCTATGCCAAGGAGCTTCAGCAGTACCAGCAGACAGAGGCTTTCAAGGCATTCAGCAGGAAACAGGAGGAACGCAAGCTCAGGAATGAGCTCATGGAGGCTGAAGAAGCCCAAACTAATGGCTCTGCTATGGAGGTACATACACACTCACACACTCAAACCCATCAGATCAATAAACTAGTTTGTGTTTTTAAATTTTATCCTGAATTGGCAGATTGTCTTAACTTACAACAACTAAATGCAAGTATTCAATCCAATCCAGGTTTTTATAAAGCGCCAAGGTATCATATTAATAACCGAGAGCAAATCAAGTGTCAGACCAATTATGACATGTCTTAACTCATATCGTGCCAAGAACACTGTTCTGTGCATGCGCTGGCGTGCCACGCTCACATAATCGGGTTTCTGGTGGCTTGCCATGCACACATAAAATCTCATCCACTCGCGTGCCACGGACACATTTTCGTGCATTAGTACACACGCTAATTGAACCTACCCTAAATTAACTTGGCACACAGGAGATTAGTGGCTGGCACAATAGGGATTAGCACTGTGGCACTGGGTGAATTGTATGGGGGCAGCTTAAGAGTTAAAGGGATCCGGTAACTATGTCTTAGATCCTTTACAAAAATCCTTCATTTAGCTCATGCTGCAACGATAATTATAAACCTTTAGGTCAGTCAGGAACCCCATAACTTTTACAAGCCGATCGCCTGTCTGATTACCAAGATATTTATGATTGAAAATCGAAACCAAATATGCGTTTGCCTAACGGTTTTCATAACACTACAGTCTATTGTGGAAAACGAGTATGGTAAAACCGGTCACTCAAAGAATTTTACTTTTTTGAGGCACTTCTTGATCATTTTGAAGCGCAATTTTTGTAGGGCTTCAATCTAACACCATATCACAGACACTGATATCACGTAGGACCGTGCATCTCATATTTAACATTGTTAAACGATCCCTTTAATAGAAGCATTTATTTCTTTGAGTGTATTATCAGAAGGTCTATTGTGTCTATTTTTTCAATGGTGTATGTTATATCAGTGGGCCAGTTTATAAATGAAGAGGCTGTATCACTCTTAGGATGTTGTAAAGAACAGCTTGAGGGGTCTGGATATATGCATAGATAGGGAATACTTTTTGACTTTTTATTAAAATTTTGGAGTCCATTGTGTGTTTGAGAGGGTCATTTCCCACTCATTACAATACTTACAAAACCATGCAGCAGATTTGTAATACAAAATGTTTCATTTTTAACCTTGTGACATTTTGTGTTTGTGTGCCACAGTTTATTGACGAAAACAGAGAAGAGATCCCGGGCTTTGATATCCCCATCTTCACAGAGGAATTTCTTAACTACAACAAAGGTAAATGATAAACCTATCAACTACTGAATTCTCTCATTCCCATAGGCTTCCATGTAGGTTCCAGTGGCTATGGGTTAAATTTGTTTTTTATAAGGATGACACTACTACAGCATACACCCAAATTAACAAAGAATAAGTTTATCTCATCCAATGATGTAAACCTCAGTAAGGGTAGTGTGTGTGTGTGTGTGTGTGTCCTTAGGTCCAATGAGTGGCTGATGATATGCTTTGATACATGTGGTAGTCCACTTAAATGGTTTAAACCATGATTCAGACCATGAGTGGTTGAAGTATGGTTGTGTAGTGGTTCATTCACTTGACTCTCATGCCCAACGCTAAGGTACACCGGCAAGACAATTAGGAGCTGCCAACCCGTACGATTTTATCGTATTTTGTACGATTTTTAGTAGTAAATACGATAGTACAATTTTTTCCTCAATAAAATACAATTTTCAACAAAAAAAAATCCAAAAAATCAGAATATTTGATTGTGTTTGTGTATTTTGTGTGTGTGTGCCATTTTCAATGGCAAATTGCCCATTCTCTCCTGTAAAGTATCCTACAAGCATATCACATCGGCAATTAGGGGCTGTTCATTGGTTCATCGAACACACCAGTCATGACAAAATCATGCATATTCAACTAACATATTTACATGCCATGCTGCTCATTGGTTCATTGAACGATCATTCATGACTGTGTAATAACAATTGGAATGCCTGCAGAAAGGAGAGCATTATGCTGATGAGGCTTCTCTTGTAGAAAAAAAAACTATTATCATTATTTTGTGGATTCATAGAATCTTTCTGGTTAAAGTGATGACATTATCTTTTCTTTGTCCAACAGTACGAGAGAATGAGCTGAGGCAGCTGAGAAAGTCAACGACAGAATACGAGGAACAGAACGCCATCTTACAGAAGCACATTGATAAGATGAAGGAGGCTATTGATAAGTTAGAAGCAGAGACAGTACAGCAACGTAACACTAACATGGCACTACAGAGCCATCTCCAGCAACTCAGAGCTACCCTCACAGCAAGCTTTGCTGGGGTCCCACTACCAGGTAGGTCACAATGTGGAAAGCTGAGTAATACAACAAGTCTCGCTACGGCATATAGCAATATACATTTCCATAATGCATTGCGCTAGTAAAAATAGCCACTTAAACGGACTTGTTTTCAGTAATATGCGGTAGGAAGAATTCCTCTAACAAGAAAAGTCCATTGATTTTTAGATTACAAGCTTGAACTTTGAAGCTCTGAATCTGTCCTAAATTCAGGAAAGATCATTTTTAAGACTTGCTACGAACATCAGATCTATTTTGATTTGATATTTATATTCGTTTATCAGTTATTCTGCATCATTTTTTACCAAGTTAGTATTCAGAGTGATATGCATGATAACAATTTCTCTATGATGATCATGCAAGGTGTACACTCCTTCATGCCATGTAGGACTCCACATTTCACTACAGATCATATATGGCAGATATCTTTTTGTTTCTGTTGTCACAAGTTAAAAAATTCAAACGAGAACAATGATTCTTCCAAATAACACCCAAATTTTAAAGATGCGATTGTGGATGTTTTTCTTCTTGTTTTTGTGTACACAGGTTCTAATGAAGTGCCATCACTGACCACCGTTGATTCCTACATGACCAAACTACATCAGCTTATTATGGACTCACCCCAGAATGAGAACCTTATCTCAAACGTGAGAGAGATCGTCAACAGGCTTGATCTTCATGGGTAAGCTATGTCACAATTGTAAATCTTGAACCTTGCCTTGGGTATGTCATATTGGATCGGTACAAACAACTTTTTAAAATGGCAAAAATAGAGTGTGTTGGGTAGCAAGATTATTTAGGAAACAGTACCATATATAAATATTTCTTAAAGAAATATAGAAAAATTTTCTTCACCCATTGTGTAATATTGCTATTGCTAAACTTTGTCACAGAAAAGTGCCTCAGTAATGTATTATGTGTAACTAAACATGGAGCTTGGGTATAATATGTTTTTCTTGATGACAGCAACAGAATGCTGAGTTAATTAAACTGGTTTTTTTTCTCCTTAAAATAACTATAATCATCTTTGTTGAAATGTGTTTGGTATGAAGAATTCAACCACTGGAGGAAACATACAGTTTAGCTCAAAGTTACTGTACATACATGTTAGAAACTCTTATGAGGATAAGAACACACATGGAAATGATAAACGTTTGATTAAAACATGAAGTTCAGTCAAGAGATCAACCTCTAGACTTTAATTATATAGCGTTTATAACACTTATTATTCTCTTCCCCCATTGAACGTAGGGACGTGGATCCAAAGTTATGACCATCGCTGGCTAGCCCATCCCTTACTCTGTATAACCAGTAGCAGCTCAGTATACGTCATTCAAAATGATCAGCCTTGTGGCCGGAGAGATAGATACAGAGAGAGAAGACATCTTTTTATGACCCACCTCGACCTCATTATTGTGGTCTTTAAATAATGTGACTGACATTGATGATCAGATAAATGATATCAGGTATTCAAGAATGGATTGACTCTCATTTGCTGCCTCTGTGTACATTCAATGTCATTTAGGCAAGAATTATAGGAATTTCTGTTTCTTAGAAATGTTTTGATCGATGGAGAGGAGCGCATCCATTGATGATCATAAGATGCCTGCAGCCCATATACAAGAAGGGACCAATGTTCATTTGCTGCATCTGTCTACATATGCAACTGTTTTCAGACAATAATTCTTGATTTCTTCATTCATGTCACCAGTAGTGAATTAAGGTAGAGTTTGGAAAGGTTAATTACCGCTAAGCAAAATTAAGCAAGATTTTTGCATCAAACCAATCAGGGTATGGGATTTTCTTTGTTGCTTCAGGCTTCTGTTGTAGAATTAACCCATGTACCTCTTTTGCTTTTCCACTATAACCTCTATGAACCTGATGGTTTCACAGACTACAAACACGTGTCTGTCTTTGATATTACAGAGAACAGATCATACAGTTCATAATACAGTCCGTATCAACAAAAAGTTAACCCAACTTTGGTAGCCTCTAATTAAAAAGTTATAACCTGTCATATTTCATTGTAAGGAAGAACTAATGCTCTGTCTAATGATACCATTTTCAAAATTGTTCTGCCAAGGATGACTGAACAGCAGGGTTTTAAAAAGTTTTGTCAAAATCCTCTTGTACCAAGTTTGGGCCGAGTCAAAAGCCATGATGTGTTTGTTATCTCATTCCAAAACAATTGCTCTTTTATTTACATTGATTATTAGGCAGTTGAAGAAAAAAAAAGTTAACATCAAACTCAAACTCAAAGAAATGCTTATTACAAGCAAACTTAATGATGTTCTCGTTATGATGATTACAATCTTAACTTCATTCGCATCCCTTGTTTAAAGGTAACCTTTTCATTCAGTGATACAAAATGGATAAAGTTTACCTGGGATGTTAGCCTCTTTTTTTTAAAAGTCTGCTGTCAATTTATTTTATATTTATCATCATAAATATTCTTTCTTGCATTTGGGTTTAGTAACCTTGAGTTTTTGATTGATATTCAAGATAAACACATAACAGTAATTAAATTTAATCCTGTCGATTGAAACAAGGTTCTGTGAAAGCTTATAGTTACATTGCATCATTTTAAACAATGAAACACTGAAACATGAGGCATAATTTAACTTTTAAAAGGATTTAAGACCAAAGAAGCACATGCATATGGCCTGACCCGCATTGGTTCCTTGGAACAAGGCGATTTTGATAACACTTTTTAAAGACCCTGGTACTCATTCACCCATGGCAGAAATACTATGAATAGGGTTTAAACATTGGACAAAAATAAGGTACTCTTCATCATGAAAGTAATTTCAAAGTCATGTCGGTTATGACTTTTCAATTAGGAGCTACCGAAGTTGGGTAAACTTTTTATTGATATGCCCTGTATACGTTGTTGACTCTTATGTGCATAAAATGCTAACATGTAAAATGTATGCTTGTGAGTTTATGGTACTAGTTTGCAAAACATAAATGTAGTAAAATCAGTGTTATGGGCAGTAAGCTATCCAAGTAGATTTGAAGGAAGAAAAAAAAATGGAAATTTGCTTCAAATACCACAGTTTATAAGAACATAATTTAAAGTCGGTAAACAGAATTTATTCATAAGAATAGACTTTCATAAATAATGAGTAGCACCAATAACCCATATTCTAAATACCCCATGAAAAATACTGATCAATGCATCATGATCAAAAGATAAGCAACTGATTATTCATCTGTACATATATTTTCTGCTGTATATTCTGCGCCTTGTATATGTTCCTGTATATACTTTACTTTGGGTGCCGCATCATGCCATGATGGATTGAAAGAAAATTTATCTTTTTGTGTTTTCCACTCTCAACCCAGATGTAGTAGATAGGTACTTGGAAGGAAATAACTTGTTGAATGCTTTGAGCACCTTGGAGCAGGCAGCTCGTCTGAATGTAGCCAGGGTGATAGTAATACTTTGTAGTACTTTGTATTACACCTCAAGCATCCACATGGATGGATGGATATGTTCGCAAAATAAATTGATTGTTATTCTTTTATTTGCAATGGTCACATATTCAGATCACTGACACATGAAAAATAAATGAATCAATTGATTGATATGCATGCACATAAAACAGTATGTGGAGCTGCCAACAGTACAATACATGTAACTGTATGTTTGATACTATCAAACGAATACAAATCGTTGTTTGGTACTACCAATCTGTTGAAGTTCATAAATGGTTTGGTAACTGATTCCCAAGATATACAATGTAATTTTCTTTAATATCCTATTTACAATAATTGTTCATTGTTGATTTTTTTTCTTTTTTTTTCTTAAAGAAGCAAATATCAATTTAGATATTCATTAATGTTGGCACCTACATTTTTTTTAAGCTTTTAAAAAAGGAAATTAGCCATGTGAAAATCAACCAAAGCATGGACAGACTTCATCTGACTCATGTAAGAGTATTATACTACTGCTATTGCTACTATGTGGCAAAATGTTTGAATGGGAATCGACATCATAACTGTGTAATTGACATCATAACATTGTCATCATATAGGATGGCAATGTCTTTTAAGCACTGCCAAGTTCAGTTACACTGTTGTAGTGACATGATACATGTATATTTTCAATTCATGTAGGTCTATGTTATTGATCTAAATGATAACATGTCCCCCCAAAATGTAAAGTTGTAGTCCGATGTGTAACAACTGACAATTAATTGCAGTCTGATTATTAAAGTATACTCAAGTCTACATATTTTGTGAAATGAAAGATGATTTGCTATGAACAAAATTGAAATATATTACAATGCTGTTGGTGTTTGTGTTTTCCTGAAATCCTAACAATAAATATGTGTATTAAAAAAAACATATCTCTAACATGTACATGTACACTAAAAACAATCTGGTATGCAATTTAATTTTCATTTGTTCCAGTTCAATATATGTGCCAGTTTATCCAATGACATGTTTGTTTTTTCCTCTCAACTCAGTTAAATGCCACTAGGTGTATTTGATCCACCACAGTTTAGCATAGGCAAAGCATTAGCTTAGTGTAAATCAGTGCTGCATTTCAAGTGTTATTCAAAGCTTTTATATCATTGTCATGTTGTGTATCGCAATGTTTAGCTACCATAGTCAGATCAACGTTTAATTTGCCAGAAGTTACTTTACGATACATTTTAAGTGGAGCAAAAATGAAACAAAAAGTGTTAATTTTCTCACAAATGAGTGATAAAGAAATTGGTTTTCTAGTAATTGTAGCTGATGTTGTAGAAATAAAGATTACTCAGTTTTTTTGTTCCATCCCCATTTTTGTATCCTTTTCAGTATTTTGTTACATTTCACTTTATATTTGGTTTAGCTTTGAGAAGGGCTTTTGACTTTATATACAATCATCATTTAGGTAGTCTAAGCCCTTCAGGCTTGATATAAAGAAAACTGGCTACTTTTGTAAAAGTGTAAACGAATGGCAACTGTACGCAACAAAGGTCCTACTTATATTCACTGAGCTTTGTACTATAAGATACAAAGAATGTGATGCATATTAATGTCCATCATCATAACCAAAACAAACTTATGCAGGTTACCATCTCATATTTTGAATGACATGAGGTTAGTAAGATATGGGACAAAATGGTGTGGACTTGCCCATATATATATATATATATATATATATATATATATATATCTGCATAGGCCCTACTAGCTCTCCACATACTACTGTAACTTTCCCTTGATGATGCTCATGCCTGTTGATTCTAGATCTGTTTGATGTACTTAAAGTATTCCGTGTTTTGTTTTGCTTGTCATGTACAGTATCATTACTTAAAGCATTAGCCAGCATTTAGCCAACCAATAATATTTCATTAAATGTTGTACAGATGTTCAGTATTAAATTGCCAAAAGTGCAGTATGACTGCTTTGAAACTGATAAATGTGAACTGTTTTTATTTATATCTCCTCTGTGGTAATTTTATTTTTTTTTGAAAATATGTATTTCTTTAAATGTGTGTTTGAAACATGGTTGTATATATTCAGTCAGTAGTTGCATGAATTGATTTTCCTCCATCAATTAATAAAAATCAAGATTAATTTCTCACATAGAGGGTCTTATATAGATTACGTTCCCAAGAAAAAATCAAGGGAAGTTCAAGGAGCAACACTATTAAGGATACAGCTTGAGAAGTCATAGTATACTAAAGGAAAGGAAGGGATAGCAACACATTTCTTATGAATTTGTCAATCTCTCTCTCTATTCCTCCTGCCTTTTGCTTTTTAAATCTTACCTCTCTAACAGGGTGTATTTTGTTGTTGCTTGTTTCCTCTCATTTCTGGCTGTTGTTTTGCTTCTCTCCCAACCTCTGTCTTCTCTCCTCATCTTTCTTTCTTTTCTCTCTCTTGCCTCTTCCTTTCACTCCTCTCCCAATACATAGTTTCCTTCTTCCCACCCTCCTCATTTGTTAGCTGAATATGGTGTTCTTGTATAACACATGTATGTATGACTGACGGGCGTTTCACTCTCACACCAATGGCTGAAAGTACTTCATCTCAAACTTACTCATCTTCTCATCTTCTATTCTCTCATCCACTTATTACATACATGTACACATTGCTGGATGTATTCTCTGATTAAGGACATTCTGCAGGTATGTTCATGCACAATAGCCGATTGGGGCGAGCTGATCATGTATTCCTATAGGAACTTCATGCGTTGTGAATACTGAACCAGCTGGGTGTGCACAACATTACAGCGGATCGTCCTTAAGCCCAGCCACACCTGCTTTCATGACTACCGTATCTGTATATAAACACTACCTGTCAGCTGTAAAGACCACATTTTTGTATCCCTTGAGCATAATTTTGCACTACCTGTTTTAAAGGAACTTTTTTTTTATAAACGGCAGTCTTTAAATACACAAATTCACCGTACATACATGTATACATGCACAAAGAAATCACGCTTCCAATACAATAGAGTTTCAAGAAATGTTCCATATTTAATCTCTTTAATAGATAACATTCATATTCAATACCTATTCTGTACAAATATACTACAAAATAATTACATTTTATGAATAATTACATTATGTACAATTAAAATTTTGGACGGATATACATATACACCGAACTTATACAACTTAGATGACAACATACAAGTAATTATAAACAATAACGTAGATTTATATGCATTTGTCAACTACCTTCATACCTAAGTAATTCTTAACACTTTGGTTGTTTTCTTCCCCTGTCTGCATGGTCCCTTGTTTGCCAAGCAATTTTGGACAAAACAATAGGCACCAATTGACAGAAGGGTTGCTTTGTGCAACACAATGGCTTTGCAAACTTACCCATTTTGGATCTAGATTAGCTCCATTACAACCCTTTTTACACTGGTATCTAGATTTATCTTGCACTGGAAGCCTTTGGTATATCTATCTAAAAACAATGTGGCACAAGGAGATGTTATGTGTGGTATAACAACAGTTTATATAAGAATATTACCACAGCACTTTTCTATTATCCTGTGAACAAGGAATGCCAAACGAATTAATAGAAAACAATGTGAAAATTGGTCATAACTAGCCCACATTTATTACCCCTTCTGAAAGGGGATGAGGTGGCACACGCTGGCCCGTGAATATGAGCATTGTCTTGGACAAGAGTTTTGATTAAAGAATGGCTACATTTTCCTTTCAAGAACAGAAACGGGTACCCTCACTGAGAAATATATTCCCAAGGCAGATATTTCAAACCCATATTAACAATGTAAAAAACAACTCCTGAAGAAATATTGTTTAAAAACTTAAGGGGCTTAATAGTAGTGTGTCCCTGATAACAATCAATGGATCAAATACTAACCACTTTGTAATTGTGTCTCATTCCTACATTCGCATCTCTCTGTTGTTGAATCACCGAGATAAAGTTGAGAAGAAAAAAAATGGCACTTCTTTCGCATTTTGGCTAACAGCAGGCATTCATCGATATCCACATGAAGAGATTTTGATGGATAGATGTTTAGAAGACAGTCAATCGTGTGTCACATGAAAGAATCTCACAGGTGTAGTAGAACAGAGTCTCTCATCTAACCCGCATATACAAAACAAATTGCTAATCTTAACATGCATTGCTTGGAAAATGAAGATCTAAAGGTTGTGATGCTATTTCAAGCAAATTAAATGCATATATATGGCTCATTGAAAATGGATCTTATAGATCAACTGTCACGCACTAACAGATTAGTTATTTGTTTCAAAATATTTCAACATCCAACATTCTTCCAGCCAGATGATATTCTTCAATTATTCAAAGATTTTCACGGAAGTACAGTAATCTTTACGTTACTCTACTCTCCTTAAGACAATTCTTTCCTTGCCCCTGCCCCCATGTGATTCTTCCAATGAAATAATGTTTCTCTTTTCATTCTTATTAATTAGAACTTGTACTTCACATCATCCTAACTAGAGACCACCTTCAAACTCTTGGAAGAGGGGCTTCAACTTCTACCATTCAACTGCCAATCCAATGGTTTGGAACAGTTGAAAAATGTCTCTTCTACATCGTTAAACGATTTCAACTGTCTTTAGCTTAGACTGCATGTATAGTGCACCATCAGTTAATCACTACTCATAGGTGGCTGCAGAAGGGAAAGACAAATTTGCAAAACAAATGAATGTTGAGATTGAAATTTGTTTTGATAATTAGAATTAAATATTTGAAACAAAGATTGAAACCATATGACTATTTTAAAAATGAAGATGAGATGGTTTTTAGAATACCACCCAAGACCATTCCCATGTGTAGTCATCAAGGCGTACACATTGATGTAACTGGTAGGCTATCTGGCTGGGTTGGACTATCCGACTATCGGAATAGCTAGCCGGCCGTTGACTGGTTGTCTCCCGAGGGACTCTGTGACTGAGGCTTGTAGAAGGGATCTTTCTGTACCATCATTTCATGAAGCTTCTGATAGGTCTCACACTGCCCATCCACACTGTTCTTCTATTGAAAAAAGAAAAAAGAGAAATAGTAATGAATATAAATAATTATGTAATAATAATAATGAATGCAGTAATGATGATGATAACAACAACAACTGTAGCAGCAGCAGCAACAACAACAACACTATAAAGATAGCTTAGCAAAATGCACAAAAACATGTGTTCCGAACACAGCCTGCATAATTGTTGAAAATTCTAAATTTATCACCTAAGGTGGTACTTGTTAATATATGAATACAATTATGTAAACTGTACAAGTAGAATTGTAGAGGTACAGTGTAATTTTTGATTTCTAAAATCTTTTAGTCAAGTGAAGTGTTATTTCTCAGAAATGCAGGAAGTTTATACCATAGGTATATGGATTGAACAGATAACAGATTGAATAACAAATTTATGACAGCCTGTTTTCTGGTTTCAGGAATGAGAATGGAAAAAGATAAAGCAGATATATAAGTAAACATATTATGAAAGACCTTTAATTTTTAGTTACCCAGAACTGTTATTATCTTTGGAGATTTCAATTCCATTCCAGAATTATTTGGATTTAGTTTTTTCCATGGATGTAAAGGTTCATTGTATACAGCAGTCATGCAAACCCACCAATGAAGACCACAAAGGAAAATTGTAAGAGTTGCTATGGAAAACAAAGCCTTTTAAGGACAGGCTCTCTGATAACTAAAGAGAGTACATAATAAAAGCGACTACTGCAGTGATGACTATACAGTGATGGACTGACTGTATCATTATTTTGAAAGTTACATATGTTATTACAATCGACATTTTAAAATGCATGAACAAAGTTTCAAGCAAAATGAATATAAAAAAGAAAAATAAGAAATTTTCCTATTTTTAAATCTTCAAAATTCCATGTGCACTTGCCAATCTACACAAACAAAATATTCATGTATTATGTAGTTAGCTTGAAGGAATTTGACAATCTCAGTATTCGATGGGTTAAGAAAACCAGTGTGTAAGTCAACGATAGCTATTAAAAAACAGAGAAGAAAGTAAGGCAATTATTTTGAGTGCAACTCTGCAACAATGAGGTGATTATCCTTGCAGAGAGAGATCACTATCCTAGCTTCCATCTTTCCTTTATGCTCTTTGAATTTCTAGGATAATGAGGGTAGCATGTCTTGATTTCCTGAGGACGTACCCTGGTACTTGACAGCTAGGAATACTATCCCCGCTAGATCCTATGCTCTAAATACTCCAAGCCACTAAGAAATTGAAAAATGATCTACCAAGATCCTTGGTTTCCTTTCTTTTAAAGCCCCACTGGATAATGGTGATAATATTGTGGGCAGATATTCTTTCATTTTCTCTCATTTGAAAATATCAACTCTCAAAACAACTTTCACGTCTGTGTATGTATATATATATGTCAATTCCATTTGTATGCAAATGGAAGCCTCCGCACAACACCTGCACAGCGAGTTTTAATGATCAAAGGATTTACAAAAGCCTGGGTGATTTATCACATACAGCTTATTTCCCCAATTAACATGCAAATATGGGATTTTGTTTTAGGCTCTAATCCTTCAAGTTAGCTTTTTGTTCTCTTGTCATTCCCAGAATATATTGATCCAGCAAACATTGGGACTCCTGTAAAACCACAAACTATGAATATTTGCTTCTTTTTATCTCCTAGCAAAAACACCTACCTACAAATAAACTTTAATTTTGATCATTAATGCAATCCCATTAATTGCTAAGCTGCTTGGCAGAATGGTTAGTTCCATACATATCAAAAGAAACCACCATACACATAATAATCAGATGCAAATGAAAAAAAGACATAAATCTACGTTAAGATTGATGGTGACCTCTTCTGCAATTGCAATTCTACAAAATAAAAAGAAAGAAGAAACAAATCTTGTGCATTCTACAGGAAAATTTATTTCATTTAAGAAAAAGAGAAAAAAAAAAAAATGTTATCCTACCGGTACATAAAAACAAAACATTGAAATGTGTTTTCATCTATTGGTTATATTTACAGGGAAAATGAAGATTGTAACTCCATATAAACTGCACTTAAATATCGGCGTTTGTTTTTGGATATCTGTTTTAAGATATAGCAAAAAATAATCTTTCTCAAGTTAATAGCTACATGTACATTTATGATGCACACTTGTCTATCTCCAGGAATACTCAATAACCTACAGAGTACTACTATTACCTTTGATTTTAATAGCAAAGCTGTCCTTAAGAGCCAGATCACTCAAGGGATTCCTTCGTACACACCTACGTTTATATTAATAGAACTTGAGGATGATTCTCTTGCTTAAGGAGACATACAGCCATGACTGAGACTCAAACCCAACCTGATCCATTCACCGCATGTCTGGCTACTCAATCACTAGACAAACACCTCTAAATCTCAGCTTCATCTCCTAGCTTCTATGCCATAGACAGAAATCATGCCCAAAAAATTAGTGATTTATTTTCCTGAAACAGAAGCACTGTGCATTCATTGAACAGGCAATAACTCCCTTGGAATGATCGAAAGCCGAATTCAATGAAGAAACAACACCCTACATTGGAGTTTTCAAAATTGTTGATGATTATTTTACATGAACCTAGTAAAGGGACTTACAATGTAAAATGTCTTATGGCAAGGTGTTATGATCTACTAGATAAGTCACCGTACTGTAGATCACAAGGTACAGGTTTTGAATCGGTACTAACGTCCTTTGGCAAGACATTATTCTACATTTGCCTTTCTCCACCCAGGTATGAATGGGGTACCTGCAATGCTTGACAGCTAGCTTTGGCAGCTCAGCTATTACCAGGGTTAGGGTGTCAAAGTGCCATGAGATACACAGCATGATAGCGCTGTATAGAAGCCATTATTATTATTATTTAATAACTATGTTTAGTACTTACTGCAATTGAGAGTCTCATTAAGCCTTTGAGTGCTGGATGAGGGGAGAGGGTGCCCAGAGTCTGTTGATACTGTATAGCTAGCAATAAGGCTTTCATCCCTGGCTCTCCAATGTTGTTACCTGGTGGGTTTAAGATCAAGATAGATTAGCTCTAGGAGAAGATCAAGATGTATTAGCTCTAGGATTATCTCACCTATGCATACTTAGTTTAATTTGGTAATAATGTACAGATGTAATGTTGATTCATATGTGCCATGGTTATAAAGTACAATTGGCACTGTCTCTCTGACACATCAAGTTACTAACAGACCATACAGATGTGAGTTGGTGCTATGTCAGCAGGCAAATTTTTTAGTTGTCAAAAGACACCTTTGTTAGAAAGATTATGCCTTAAATTAGTTAACAGACTTATTGGCATATGGAGTAGAAGTGTCATAGTCGAGTGATTTAAGCACTTGACTTAAAATTCAAAGGTCATGGTTCGATCCCCGATACGGCACTAATGTCCTTTGGCAAGGCATAAATCTTCCATTTGCCACACTCGACCAAGGTGAGGTAAAGGGGTTTCTGGCAGGAATTAATTCCTTGAAATGCTAGAGCGCTGTAATGGCAGCTAGGCTAAAGCCAGGGCAATAATAAATGCCCCTCGGAATAGAATTTCTAGATAGACGCCGCTATAGAAATGCCTATTATTATTAGGCTAAGACTTTAGAATGTATTTGCCAAGTCACTGCAAGGCATTACTTTATGCACATAAAATAAAGAGGTTCAAAGCATTTCTAGAGGAGTTTTAAATCTTAAATTTTTTCAGCCATGCATCCTATCATCAAAATAAGCTACAGCAAATGGCAGTCACTTGATAAAACACTCCAAGTTTCCCCCAATAGCTGATGCTATTACAGATATCGTTACGACCAGTCAATTAACTCACGTGAAACATTGAGATTGATCAAGGCGCGGTTTCCGGGTATCCACAGCTGGCCATCTATCGACTCAGGCTGCTCAGCTAATAATGGATTGATGGCTTCCAAAATGTCTGGTGACTGCAAAAAAACATGATGGAAGTTATTACGGAAATTACATCACATTCTAAAAGGGATAGTCAACCTTTTTTAAAGAGGCATTAATTGTTCAGGTTTGAAATAAATCCATGCTTGCATGTTTATCAACCTCAAAGAAAGCTCTTTATTTTTTAAAAGGTTATTAATCACTACTGTATTGTACTTAACAGATTGGCAGGATCAACACTATTGATAAAATGTTTTTTTAAACTTGCTTTTTATTTGCACTTCGTCAACATCCAACAAAAAGAAGTTTTGTGTCCATTTTCTAGACATCAGAAGAGCTACCTACTATTGCATGCTTAAATACACTGAAAATATTCATTTGTTACAACATTTCATAAAATCTAATATTCTCCATTTTTTTCCATATAGTTTGTTCAAAACAAACTGGTGAAAGTTACCTATATACATTAAACATCAGAGTTGCCAATTTGTAATATGCCATGAGCAATGATACTTGCAATTACCAAGCCTTACCTCTGCCTCGCTCTGTTTCTTGTCTTTTCCTTTGGTTTTTCCTTTTGTTGCTTTCATTGTTTCAGCTGTTTGTGTAAAAAAAAAAAATCATAAAGATATTTACCCACAGTTCTTGAAAGTTACACAACACTACATCTTTATGTAAAATGCTACAAAGACTTAAACAATAGGCCTATTTGATTGATTCCTGTATTATGTAATACAGTAGGAATATAATCACATCTCTAATAAGAATATTTTATAAAATGCCCCTTTATATGAAATTTTTGTAATGATCTAACTGTTACAGATTAAGCTTTCTGCACAATCTTTTCTGTTGTTGAATTCAGTTATTGTGATTTTCAAATAGAACACAACACATGACCTGTCATCTTTGATGTCCCCTAAAGTTGTGACTTTACAAGGAATAATGTTTAGAAACTTCACTAAGAAATTTATAAAAAGAAAGAAATTTGCAGTTGTGATCCCAATTTGGGGATCTGCTACACAATCAGCATTATTGATTGGGGAGTTACAGTAAAATTCTTTCTTCCTAAAAATTAAATGAATTTGTTTTCTTACAAAATAAATGAGATGTCTTATTCAAGTCATCTGTAGAATATAATGATAACTTTTAATATTCAAATCATCTGTAGATCCTAATGATAGCATTCTATCACTTTATCCTCATTGTATCATTTATATCCTTATGCTCTCTAATTCATTTTAACAAACTTAATAAAGCACTATATTCAATTTAAGAAGAAAAAATATATATCAATTTATGTGATTCTAATTAACTACACTGTCGCTCATAAAGGTGGAATATTTTTTTAAATTCCAATTTATGGAATTATTTTGAAAATAATTTAAAAATAATAGATCTAGATAATAGTATACATTCTCAGATTTTATTGAATAATAATTTGCCAATGTGTGTTTTGCGTGACTGCTAAAGCATGTGTATGCTACTATGCTTATCAACTAGGGGACCTATGCCCTTAAGTCATAAATGACAGTAATGAGGATTAATGCCCCACAAAAGGACACTAATATAGCACATCGACACGGTTTTGATCCTGGGGCCTCACAGTTACGAGGCCATTGTTTTGTCACTGAACCATGACTGTACGCAGCGGGGGCTAGGGTAGGGGGCAGTTTCCATAAATTTAAAAAACAAAACAGAAAATGCAATAAATTTGCAATAATTTATTGCATTTAACCCCGGTGCCTAACATTAAAAAAAATTCTGTGTGCCCATGCCTTGAGCCATAATGCATGGCCGTCAAGAGGATTTTGTTATGTTGGGGACCGGGGTAAAATGCAATAAATTATTGAAATTTATTGCATTTTCTGTGTTTTTTTTAATTTATGGAAACTGCCCCCTACCCTAGCCCCCGCTGCGTACAGTCATGGTTCAGTGACAAAACAATGGCCTCGTAACTGTGAGGCCCCAGGATCAAAACCGTGTCGATGTGCTATATTAGTGCCCTTCTGTGGGGCATTAATCCTCATTACTGTCATTTATGACTTGAGAGCGTAGGTCCCCTAGTTAATAAGCATAGTAGCATACACATGCTTTAGCAGTTCCGCAAAACACACGTTGGCAAGTTATTATTCAATAAAATCTGAGAATGTATACTATTATCTATATCTATTATTTTTAAATAATTTTTAAACTAATTCCATAAATTGGAATTTAAAAAAATATTCCACCTTTATGAGCGACAGTGTATCATGTTAAGTAAACGTGGGTTATTAGGTGACTGAATATAACATTACCGCAAGCATTTTCTCCAAATTGCCAATTTTGTCTAGTAAACTTATTATAAAGCATCACATATTGAAAGGTACAAGTATAACGGCAGTACCGTAATGTTTCTACAGGCAATGTTTAGAAAATTGAAAATAATTGCGGCCATGCTCTATTCACATTACAAGAGTTATATGAAATTAGTTATTATGGTTGGGAATGTTAGATGAATGTCAAATGATGCACTAACAAAAACAAGTCAATGTATTTGTGAATCTTTAAATAATGAAAGACAGTAGCTGCTTGTGGAGTTTTAAAAAAAAAAAAAAAAAAAAAGAAGATTTTTTCCTCTCCACAAAACATCAAACTGATCTAAGGCTTCCAGAAACTTGCCACGGAACATGTGAAGAGGCGAATATGTAAAAATAACAACAACAAAAAAGAGACACATCCATGTTGCCATGACATGTAAACATTACACTGACGTAAATTCCGCTGCAGAACCAAAATGCCTCAGAGTTATGTATCTCCTTTCATTCCTCTTCTTTGAAGTTTATCATTTCTTGATTGATGACTTTAGAAGCCCTCAAAGGCATGGGAGACAGTCATGTGATCAAGTATGCACAATATACAGGTTTTTAGGTTCATTTCAGATATGAGGTTGTGAGTATGAATTTTCCTTCCAACCACAGCAAAAGCAAAGATAAGTCTCTAATGATCTTACTTTGAACAAACTATTAGAATGGTATTTAGAATTAGGCACAGCAAAAATGATACACACACTGGCATGGTTAGTTGTGATGAAATATTTAAAGGGGAAAAATGGAGAAAACTGTGCTTAATTAGCAAAACCATCAAGCAGGATTCATTATCTGCATAATTAATCAACATTCTAACTCTTTATTTGCTTAATTTGGCAAACTAATGGAACAGAAACTGTACTGTCACAGTTGATACAGAAACATATAAAGATAAAACCATGTGACAATCAAGGAGGTTTCTGTCGGCAGCAAATAAAGAGTCGATGAGTAAATCAAGTACATTGCATATATATAAGCATATCCTAAGAATTGGTACCATGAATTGGTTAAAACGTTGTATTTGATAGAAAAGGTCACACATTTGATGACAAAATCAGTAATGATTCATGAACGTTAGATTTCATGCAAGACTTAATTCACAGATGATTCTCCATTGCTAATGACAGCTAGTGACATGCTACATGTCATTTCATTGTCCCAACACAGTTGAGATATATGACTAAAGATCTAATATCGTTTTAATCTAAGAACTGTATCATTATCAAGCTACATGCATCCACACATCTTCACCTATTGATGGAATGAGTATCTAAGCTTATTAGGCCTACTGCTGCATACTAGCTGTACTACAGTAAATCATGGTTCATTCCCACTTTCAGCAAACATTTTTTTCATAAAATTAACTCAATTGAAGGGTCACTTCTAAGAATTACTAGAAACTGATATAATTTTTTTTAAAGAGAATTGCTCACTTGAGGCAAAATTGTCTGTTCATGCACAGCCAGTCAAACAGGCAGGCATTAGCACTGTGGGTATGGACTTTCAGACTCTCAGAGTAACTTTGTTTTACAAGGCAGTAAAGCATTTCTGATAGCCACTGTTTTTTCACAGGCACAAAAAATATCTTTTTGGCCTTTTCTCTAATATTTTTATGGCATTTTCAAAAAAACTCTGTTATGGAAAACAAGGTAAATATAGACCCCCAAAACATTTTTAGAACAAAGATTTGGAACAAAAGATTTAAACTAGTATGAATCGCAGATTTAAGTCCCAATTTTAGAAGGAAAAAATCAAGGACCCTTCAAACAGAGAGCTCACATGGGAATGAACCTGATTGATGAGATGATGAAAACTAAATTAATAATATATTTAAATTATAACAAAAACCTCTTGATCCGTATCGCTGGGAATCTGTTTATGGATGATGCATTGTTGATTTGGTAAACACAAGGTTGACAACACATGTTGATGCAGATGATGTGAGGGCGATTTCATTCGTGAATTTTTAAGATGCACGGGGGCAAAGGAGGGGTTGGTGAAACATTGGGGAAGAAGTGGGGGAAGTGGGGGAAGTGGGGAAAGTGGAGAAAAATTCAAAGAATAACATGTTCAGGTGGATAATTGGTGACATGGGATAAATATTATAAGGGCTAGGGAGCAGGGGTTGCTATGGATTAATTATAGGGATCACCAATAACCATGATGGAATAGACACAACAAAATATTACAAAAACATATCAGTTAAGAATTTAAATGTAGCCAACCTTACGAACCAATTTTTTTAAAAACATATAACATTGAAGAATACAATTAGTTTAATGCCATATTATATAATTGTTTAAATGACAAAATATTCTCTTTATGATAGAAATGTACCCAACACACTTTAGGACAGTATGAAGAGAATGTGAGTAGACCAAACTACCCGTCAATCATGTATAGTAGTGTGGTGAACTGACTTTGAAAATAACAGCATTTTTGTTAATCTCATACATGTGTAAAAGCACACAAATTCGCATATAATAATAACAATCTTGGTAATCACATGCTTTTTGTTCGGTGATCATCAAAATCACAATGGCAGCAGCAGAGAATTTCTTAAACAAGAGTTAGGAAGGTTAACTGGCAGACACACACAGAAGGGTATATTGAATAGAACAGATAAGGAGAAAGAAAAGTTGTCATGATTATAAAAGCTATATATATTATACAACAAAAATGTGAACTACATGTATAGGCATATAGAAGATAGAACATAAGTGTGATACAAATAGTATGAGCTATAAGCTAAGGAAAACAAAAACACATAGGAAAGCACAGAGTAGGAATGTTGAACTTAAAGCAATAGTTTGAATTACAACTTTGGGGACTGGCAAGAATTCCAGCAATGGGTTGGCAAAGATCAAAACATTGGAGTTGGATAAATTTGAGCATTGGAAGGCATGAATTTATGCAATGGGATTGGATGAATGTAAGCAATGGGATTGGGTGAATGTAAGTCATAGGTTTGGATGAACGTACGCAATGGGATGTTTGGATGAATGTAAGCAATGGGATTGGATAAATGTAAGCAATGGGATTGAATGTATATAAGCAATATAATTGGATGAATGTAAGCAATGGGATTGGATGCAAATAAGCAATGGAATTGGATGCATGTAAGCAATGGGATTGGATAAATGTAAGCAATATAATTGGATGAATGTAAGCCATGGGATTGGATGCAAATAAGCAATGGGATTGGATGAATGTAAGCAATGGTATTGGATGCATGTAAGCAATGGGATTGGATGAATGTAAGCAATGGGATTGGATGAATGTAAGCAATGGGATTGGATGCAAATAAGCAATGGGATTGGATGCAAATAAGCAATGGGATTGGATGAATGTAAGCAATGGGATTGGATGCATGTAAGCAATGGGATTGGATGAATGTAAGCCATGGAATTGGATGAATGTAAGCCATGGGATTGGATGAATGTAAGCCATGGGATTGGATGAATGTAAGCCATAGGTTTGGATGAATGTAAGCTATAGGTTTGGATGAACGTAAGTAATGGGATTGGATGAATGTAAGCAATAGGTTTGAATACATGTAATAGGACTAGATGAAATCTAGCAATGGGGGAAGTTGAATTTAAACAATGGACATAGGATTAGAGAAAATGGGATAAGGTGAATTCAAGCAATGTAATTGGAAAGAATTAAAGTGATGGATTGAATTCAAGCAGTGGGATTGAGAGATCCTAAATAAAAAGTGGTGAGGAAGAAGTGGAACAATGGGAGTGAAGGAATTAAAATGGGGTGACTGGAGTGACTCAATACTGGCCGGGGTGGGCAGGAGTACAAGTATAACAGATCCCAGACAATTATGGAAGTATTTGAAGAGTTAAAGGAATGCTATTTAGTTCAAAGTTCAAAGAACGAAAGAAATGCTATTTAGAAAATATAGTGGAAAGAATAATTGGGGTCAGAGACAGGGCAAGTAAGGTTGGAGAAGTTGAGTGTGAGAATGAAACTGGTCCCAAACATTTCTAGAAATTCAGCACCTTCAGATATCACTGTAATGCTTATCAAAAAATGATGAGATTACAGGATGATCCACAGAGTTTATCAAGCTTATAAAACATTAACACTTGAGGCTAGCTTTGGTGGACTAATAGAACAATCAGTGGACTAGCTGCCACAGTAATTTTTTGGCACACATTAAGTGTACGTGTATAAGTACCATATCCAAACTGTACAGATACTCTGAGAAAATGTGGCCATCTTAGAGTCTGGTGGTAGGTGAGTCAAGAGTTTAAACTGTACTTCAGCAGGTTTACTAGCTGGTACTAACTTGTTTTTTGGAGGGAGGTGGGGCATTATTTCCAGAAACATTGGGAACCTTGTATCTCCAGAAATGTGGATTTTAAAGAGGCTACAGAAAGGATATGGAATGTATGTGTTTGTTTGAATGGGATGCATACCTATGGTGACTGCAGTAGCACGACCACCACCTGCAATGGAGTGGGTGTGGGTGATGAAAAGCGAGGTACAGAATCGTAGGCAAATGCAAACAAGAAATAACAATAAGGCTACAATAACATGAACATGCAAGCTATGTACTCTGAGCATCAGGAAATAAGTTTTCTTTGAAACAAATATAACACATTCACTTATCATGAAAAGCAGTTGCTATGAAAGAATTGCATAAAAGAAAGATAATTGGTTGGAATATCATCAGTTTAAAGCCAGATGGATGTTAACTCTGTCTTACAGCATACTTGTATGCGTTAACACCCTTTGGGCTACAAATAGCAATTAAAATGACATGTAAAGTAATAACCTACTTGGAAACATTTCAGGGTATACATATGAGAGATTGTCATTTTTCCTAACTCAAGATTAACCCATACATTTTCCGGATTACCAAATTATTATTCACTTTGCATATTTTCTATGAAGCTTGGTACAAAGTACTTGTGAATGCATAACCCTAAGCAATATGCAGCTCAAAGTGGTAACCAATATCCTACAGTCTCTTGAATGAAAACACTGCTTGAAGGTTGCATAATTATAAAGAAATGTTTGGTATTGTATGTGTGAGATGATTGAAGAAAGATTCTATGACAGATGTAATACATACATATCCTTTATTCTACAATTTTTTAACAAGACAGTTACAATGGTGAAATTTATATAAAACTTATCAAAGCTGATGAAATGACAACTCTAGAGAATACATCTGTGTCTCTTTATAAGCTTGATAGCATCATAAGTGATGCAATCTTGCATTGGTTACAACATTGTTATGTTATGTTATGTTATGTTATGTATTGTTGAAAATTGCAGTTTCTGATTCATATCTATGTATAATATTTGCCAGCATTAAATATTCATACATTTTCAGGCTTTCTTCAGTGTCTATGTTTAGTAAGATAACAAGAATTTTTAATGGCTATTTTTGTTCTGTTTATGTCGTCAATTTACAACAACAAAATTTCATGAAAGTACCGATGCTTCTAACAACTTGACAAGTTTAAAAGATTTACACTCCCCTCAGAGGAAGCTAAAAGCAAGGATTAAGATGGTCTGGCAGCCACCCAACTTTTTTCCCCCAAATAATTTTAAAAACTCTTGTATCAGCCATATTTTGCATTGAATTTCCACCCACATACAGATCATTGTAATTATTCATAATTGAGGCACTTAAAGCCTAAAGTATCATTAAGATTTAAAAGTTTTATGGAAAAATGACTCCCCTTACTCATGTATAAATCATATCTAATATATTTTAAAATGCCTTGGGGAAAGCAGAAAAGTTTGGCAGTTTATGCAGGTAGGTTCCCTTGTGATCCCCTCTTCATACTAAACATGGAATAGGCAATATAAAATCAACTTATTCTGATAGTCTGTATTTCAAGAGAGATTAGAGTAAATTAATCATGAATTGTTTATCATCCCACAGATGGGATGGTTGTTTTTATTATCAAAATATAAAAAATAGCTTGAAATCATATATTTGCTGAAAGCACAACGGATATGAGACTACATTTACTGTAAACAGCAGAACCCTTCATGAACTCAAGTTCAAAAGTGGTTAACATTTCTGAAATTTTCTATAAAAAAACCTCTTACTGTACATTACCTTCGGACAACTAGCTCAAAACTTTTTACTTCTTACCTAGCTATCATACATTTTAAAATCAAAATCATTTGAGAGATATCATCTATTGTAGTCTTTAAAGTTGGTCTTGAGTGTCATTTTTGACAGACATGGCGCATTATAAATGTTCACTATCATTATTATTATCATTGAGAGAATATATTTTCTGCCTATGATTAAAATGATATGTAAATGTAATATGTTGGAGGATAATTGGATTCAGAGTGTAGACATTGCAAGAGTTGCAGTAAGGAGAAAATGATGATCTTCTTCATACGTTACATTTAATTGGCAACAAGAACAATTAAATAAAACTACCATCTAAGTCTAACAATTTTTAGTGTTTTTGTTTGGGGTGTTTCAGTGAACTGACAGGGATATTATCCCCCATTATGAGAAAGAAAAGTAAATAATACTTTAAGAAAAAAATCCTTGATATGATTGAGTGGAATTCAAATAGATATTTACCATGCTGTTTAATTCTGTTGAGAGCCAAAATGGCATTAATTTCATCGTAAAGTATATGAGTGAATGGCCTTCTAGCTCTTGATCATGAGTCAAGTTGCACACAAAAGCTTTAGTATGAAGTTTGGAGCATGCTCATCTTATTTATATGTATCATGTCTAAACAAATAATAATATGTTTTGATGTTATTTATGTATTCTAAGCTTGTCTGCAAAATAACATAATTATATAAGATGGTTAATGAGTTGTTGTGTTTATGTTTTTTCTTGCTCTTATAGTAATTCCAACCAATATCTTGGCACACATTGTATTTCCTCGGTTCTAGCTCATTCGTCCTTCAATAAAAACAGAGTTTATGGGGGAAGAACAGATTTAACAATCATGGGCACATATTTGAATGGCAAAAATGGTACGACAGGGAAACATTCAAATGAAACACATGATAATGTGAAGTTACGAATGACTTTAAACTGATATCAACCAAGATGAAAATAGTGAAAATGTGGCTGTTGTACATAAAATTGAGCATACTGTATATGAATACATTCAACAAGGATACACTAAAATTCAATCTTCCTTGGCAAAATATTAGTCATGTTAAGGCCAGCCTCATACATGTATACCATGTTTAATACACTACAATGTAGGTATGATAAAAGATAATACCACAACAAACTGTGATGACTGTATTGATTGCACTGCCTGAGGCCACCTTTACACATGTTCATATATCAGGGTTAATACAAGAACAAAAATGAAATGTTACAAGGAATAAGAGTGTGCCGGGCAAGGATTCAAAATGGATGATGCAATATTAGTGGTGCTGATTTGAAAAGATCTGTGTGAAGGCTATAGTGCACAAGTATATATCACTGCACATGAAATGTGATAAAATACAAAGGATCTATTCTATTACCAGTACCAGTTAATGTCATTTTAAAGCCAGCTAAAAAGAAGAAAGAGTAAAGCATGCATAAAGGGTCTAAATTAGGAAATGATAACAATACTCTACAAAAAATCTTGGATTTTCATTTTTGAGCAAATATTATCCACTAGTGTTGTTCTGCTGCATAGATTATGTTGAATTATACATCATTGTTAGGCATGTTTATTACGCTTTATACAATTATGTCATATTAGAAAATAGATCATCTGCAGAGTTAAAGAAACCAAAATGGGAAATAATCATCTATGTTTAAAACTAATAGCTTCAAAGTTCAGATTATGTTTTTCAATTTGGATTTTAATAAAATGCAATTTGAAATGTAAAAACTGATTATCTATTACAAGCTAAGAAAATATACAACCTGTAGGTGCTGACTTATATTTTAGTAAAGAAAAAAAATAATAATGCATTTCTTCCGAATGAAATCATCTTGAGTTGAAATACACTCAATTTTGTCATTCACATCCAAAACTGATTTCAATTTATTATTCCTTTTAAAATATCCTTGTTGCATGATTCCAGAATCAAGAAGTCACTTCAAGAAGACATAGAAAAAAGAGAATTGACATTTTTAAAAAGGCAGGAAAAAGATACACTATTACAATATCAATTTCCTGCTATCAATGGAACACCAAACTAGCACTGAATCGAAAGTCAGAAAAATCAATTCTCAGATTGCCATTTAAAGAAAAATTGATTGATGCAAAGAAATTATCAAGTATTTGACAATACTCTCAGGTCTAGTATTACATGATGACAGTGTGTTGGTTGTTAGCAGGAAACTAGCATTAGTTTCTATCAAATAAAGAGAGGAAAAGGGATATATTCAAATCTAACAATGTGTATTCTAAATACATGTAGATGAGAGAGATAGCAAGAATTTGTTTATACAACTGTTAGTATTTATTAGAGTATGAAAAATATTCTTAAGAGGAAAAGAATAAATAAACAAGATCTATGAATTATGGGTAGTTACTTAATACTTATATTTTTCATTTCAATCTATCAAAATGAAAGGCTACCAATCTGAAATATGATGCTGTTGTGATAACGAACATAGTTACTACTAATGTTTTTGTGTTAAATCAATTTTAATTGCTAAATCTGAGCTATAAACAGATTCATGAAAAAATGAAAAATGATGCATAATGCTTCTCTGCATGAATTGTGAATTGATTGAGTTTTCATTTTCACAAGATATTGGTAGAGAAAGACAACAGCCTTACTTTCTGTAACAGCTTTCAAGTGAAGTAAACAAAATAAGAAAGAAAAGAATTTGGAGAAATATTCATTTCATTAATTTGCATTTTCACAGGGCCCTGTAGATCTACATACAATGAAACAGGTAATGCAATACTATAGATATTCTCTAGAAAAAATAACTTTTGTTTAATTTAATTCTGATTAAACTATGACTGAAAATTATACAAGAACAATATTCTGAAAAATGCAGTAGCCTTTCGCCTGATAAAGATTGCATGCAAATTCAAATCTTGAATGAGAGAAACAGGGCTAACAGATTTCTAGATATTAAAGAAAGCTTGTTAGGCAAGGGATTCAGAGAAAAATGTTATCATGAAGAAATACCTCATGTTAGAAAGAAACATGCAAGCAGTGAATGTTTTGGGGGAAAGGTTAAAGAAAAACAACCAATATCATCATACTTTCAATTTCAAAGTAACAGATAAATGCAGCAAATTTTAAAATGTTTTCATTTGTTTGACATGCAATGTATAAATCAATTTGTAGTTGATAAGACTTCGCAAAGTGAGGGCAATACAAAATATAGATTTAAAAAAGAAAAAAAAAATTGGGGGGGGGGGGTAAAGAAGAACATATGGTTAGCTAAGGAAAAGTAGTAGTTAGCTTGCCCAAAGAATTCATAAATCATCAAAAGCAAAGGAGAAGAGAGAAACAAATCATATACTCTGCATTTATGACAAAATAAAGAATTTAAAAAAGCAAAACACAAGTAATAATCGCAATTCAATATAGTACATGTAAGATAATCAACACAAAAACATATCAAATACTAAGTAAACAACTCATTTGAAAGCTCTATAGATTGCTGTAATGAAAAGCTGACCAATTCACCTTTTCTATGAATTTTTCTAGCTAGAAATGAGCTTTTCTGCTATGCTCTAATGTGCACATCATTCATGCAACTACAATCTTTTACCTTAACTGTCACTTGGAAATTTTGCAATAATAATAAAAGCATATTATTCATGTAAATACAATTTTATTCTCACTTTCAATCACTATACAATACATTTTTCACACAAGAAAATAAGGAAATATTGCATACCAAACAGAGAAGGGGGCCTATATGGCAGCTTGAATGTACACTGTACAATATTAAAATATATTTGGCTGCATGCTTATGGAAGCAAAGAAGAAAGAATCCCCAAAAGTCAGCAGAATAGGAAATTTTGCCTAAATCTTAAATATATATTTCAGTCATTTGAAACGATAAGGAATACAGTTTCTTTACCTTTCTTCCATTTGTCGTCTTTCTTTGTTCCTCCTTTCTGTGTTTCTTCCTTATCTTTCTTGCCATCCTGTTATGAAAGTGGGGAGAATTGAAAGCGAATGCCATTAATATCATGAAAATTATTTATTGACATTTAAATATCAGATAAAAGACTATGATCGAGGCCTAGCTCTCTAACCAGTATCATTTTATACACAAAACTATCTGGTTGCTCTATTGAGCATTTATACAGATTGCAATAGGAGAGACTAATAATAGTACCATAAATACTATGGAAGAGAGAATGAATGAAAAGGCTTTCCATATAGATACTATTCGGTTTAAGTTAAAAATTGTGGTGCAGTTTAACAATGAACAAGATATTATTCTATTTTTACTTCTCATTTCATGAAATCTTAATTGGTTAAAACTTTTGTTTTCTTCTCATTGTTCCAAAAATCTATATGTACATGATTTATACTGTACAATGATTTCCTCACAAATCAGCAGAGTTTAAATCAATGGTGATCTCAATTTTAAAATTGATTAATTTATATGTTAGAAATATGATAAATTTAAGCTGTTGCAAGTTGATATAATTTGGGGAACGTAGAAGTGTGTACTTACACTGTACGAGTGCTACAGAAGAATAGAACAAGAAAAAGAATGATGTTAGAGTTTGGTCAAATGAATAAAGCAAAGACAAGTTCATGCATGTCCTTAAATATGGATTAGTATTAATCTGTGAATGCCAAAGAACAAGATGCTGATGTAGAGAAAATAAATTTGTAAAATAAATAAAGCAAGAGAAAGAAAAGGGGAAAAATGAAGATGTGGGAAAAGTGGGAGATTAAATAGGTGGGACTACATGTGAAACATAAGAAAGATTATAGTTCCATGATGATTTTGCATTTTAAATGTTGATTATATAATCAATATATTCATGCAAAGTATAATCGGCCACATTTTGCTTTTTACATAGGTGAACACAGAGTTCTAGAGGCTCCTCCACACATGTCACGGTATACACCATTATTTTGTTGAACGTGTATGAATGGCGCCTCCGTGCATTGAACAGAGGTCCTACATCATGCATTCACTAAGCTCTGTGTAATAAAACCCTGCCATGGTATACCGCAGCATATCTGAACTTGGCTTAAAGTAATGAATTACATCCATCTATGGAGAAGGGAGTCAACTATAAACTCACATGCTTTTAGCTGTAACACTTGCTCCATGGAATGTATGGCAATCAAAATCCTATTTTTGTTTTTAAAAATGTCAACAGAAACTAGTATATAGCATATTCCTAGAAAAAAGCACAATCAATATCACTGATTGCACATCTCCAAGAAGGATTGGAATCCTACATCAGGAACCAATGACAAAATTATTAAATTAACTCACATCTTAAAATATTGTTTTAAATAAATATTGCAGATTGGCAATTATATACATGCAGCATGAGTAACTTCTTTTATTCAAAATAAATTTTAAAAAGTTATACTTTTAACATGTAAGTAAAATATGGAACAAAAAGGCGACCCTTGTATAAATCAATAATGGAACTCAAACATTCAAACAATGCTGCTCTGCCTCTGGCATTCAAGTTATGGTAATGCAGTATCAATATAAAACAAAGCAGACAGACATGGTTAATCGAACAGAAATTCTGAATACTATGTCAACATAATGCCATTAAAACAGGTTAGCAACTTATCACCATGTACATGTGACTGATCTTCCTACATGCACCCCTAATGTTGGATGAGTATAGTTGTATACACCAATGGAATCAAGGAGATAAATTCATAACAATATTGGGGTCTAGCTCTAATTATCATGTCACTACAAGGTACCATTATTTTTTTTATGTTCATACATTTATTTGCACTTTTGTATTAGTGTTTGTCATTTTAAAGAACATCTTTTACTTCAAATTTACAGGCTGAACCCCCAAAGCCTGATTCAGACAAGACATGGTTTTGAAGAATACGTGCCCTATATTATTTTATTCACTGTTATAAAAGATACCTTCAAAGTGCAATGCACTGCAATATCTAATTTAGTTTTTTGCAGCTTTACTTTTCTATTTTCTCCTTAATACTGCGTTGTATCTGAACAAGGCTTAATGAAACATGAAAAGTACCATTTATTATACAATCAACATTTAAGAATAGCTTCTGCAATAGTTCTTTTCAAAATGCCAGTGAATAATCAATGCAACCTTTTCAACATTCTCTTCACTGACTAAATGAGAATGAGGATGAAAAATTATGAATGCATATAAATCTGAGCATGAATAACTTTCTTGTACATCTGTAATATTCCCCCCTCTTCCTTCCATGATAGCCTAACGGTACCCTGTTTTTGTCTGAAAAGTTTTGATAGTCAATGGCATCTCCATTAAATGTAGCAAACACAACAATTACGGGCTACTGAATTGGGGGCAAACTTTAATCAAATTACATTTGCAGTCAACGACTGGATTGAATTTACAAAGAAATAAATACGACACTATTTTTTTCCAGAGTGACTTAATTTATCCGTAGTTGAAGGTGTCTTCAAATAAAAATAAATATATGCCTTCATTCATGAGAGTGTGTGTATGATATGTGCTAATGGAAGATTGCAAATGAAGTGTGGTAAAAATATACTAATTGTATGTAATGCTACAAAGCAGATTAAGAACAAGAAGGGCTTTAACATTTGGAAGGAATATACATATATTTTTTAATTCATATTTATTCAAAGTAAAAAATGTAACCAGATAAGGAGGACATCAGTTAACAGCACTCATCTATTTAAAAATGAGAAGATTTCTTTTTAAAATACCAAACTACATGTAACTCTATGAAACTATTTTTCTTTCTTAACGAGAAAAAAAAAATATATACATCACTATAACAAAATGAAGTGAGCCCTTCTTGTTCCGAAAAGTGTCCAGTAATCTACCATATGTGGATGGAACTAGTGTCGTGAAATCTCAAAGGTGTACAGTAATTTGCAATATGTGGATGGAACTAGTGTCGTGAAATCTCAAAGGTGTACAGCAATTTGCCATATGTGGATGAAGCTAATGTCGTGAAATCTCAGAATTGTATAGCAATCTGCATTATGTGGATGGAATCAGTGTTTTGAGTTTTCATGTAGTGTACATATATGCGGAAGTGAGGTTAGTACTGTAACCCCTAAACATCCAGGGGAAAGGGTTAAGGGTCAAACGGAGGATGCTGTTACCGTGGACGATCTGCTAGCTTTGGATGGCTTCTCCTCCTCCTTCTCTTTCTTGCCATCCTGTATAGATATCAAACATTATTTCACACATCTTTCAAAAAGAAGCAGAGCCAGGATTAGACGCACAGCCATTTCCTTTTTCAAAAGAAGCTACGAACACAAGCGCATGGCATCCGGCCCAGAAAGAAATACAGTGGAACTGCTTTAGTGAGTCTAAAAAGACCCAATTTGATTATTTCTGCTTCCCGAGTATATATGTTCCTCAGGAAACCTTACAATAGACCATCTGAAAATGACAACCAATATCCTTATATCCCCTCAGTGTTCTTGATGTACACATTTCACTGTATTTCAAATCATCATTACGTCTTATAATGCCAACTACGCAAAGAGAAAAGAATACAGTGCTTTTTATAATATTTAGTTAAGTCACACCATATTTTTTACATCATTTCATGAAAGCTTTAAATGCCTCCAATTTACTTAATAACAAAATCTTTCCTTTGATGAGAATGTTAAATGACCATCACCACGGTAACACTATATTGCCAAACATCTTCCTATGAGAAACCACAGAAAACTGACAGCCTCTTACACCAGACAAGGAGAATAATACTAGTCTTCAAAATACCATACAACCCAATGCATAAAGGTAGCTATTGTGCAGTTACACTAGAACAGGGCAGCTTCAAATTGCCAGATTAATGGATGGATTGAAACATTCTCCACCACTTAACTTTACACCATAATGCCACTTTATTTTTCCCCCTTTCATTTATAGGGTACCAATCATCCACAAATATAATCTGTGTACAGCTAGAATGCACATGAATAACACCAAACCATTTTCAACAAATATTTTAGCAACATATTTTTTAGTGATAATTGGTACATTTGAAAGAAATGCCTGTGTTGGACACTGATGCTGCATCAATTTTTTTTTTTTTTTTTTTTTTTTTTTTGGGGGGGGGGGGGGGGATTTGTCTCTTTTTATTTATTTATTTTTTAAAGTCAGGACAAAGAAGAAGTTCCTCAGTACAAACTATACAGGTATTCAGATTTTTGTGCCGTTATATTCAACTTGGCAGCAAGATGAGAATGAAAAAAGATATAGGATGGAAATGTATGGAATAAAGAGAGAAAGAGACAGAGAGACAGAGAGAGAGACAGAGAGAGAGAGAGAGGGGGAGGGAGAGAGAGAGAGATATTGAGAGAAATATAGAAAGAGAAGACAGAAAGAAAGTGAGTTGATAATTACCGTATGTCACTTTTTCAAGCAAATTAAGTTATACATTTGCAAGATACATGTTCATGTTAATATTGCAGGAACCCAAGTATAAAGATTTATAAGAAAAAAGCAAAGAAATTATAAATTACAATAAATTAGTTTTTTTGTTTGTTTTTTTTTTTTTGGGGGGGGGGGATTTGTCTCTTTTTATTTATTTATTTTTTAAAGTCAGGACAAAGAAGAAGTTCCTCAGTACAAACTATACAGGTATTCAGATTTTTTGTGCCGTTATATTCAATTTGGCAGCAAGATGAGAATGAAAAAAGATATAGGATGGAAATGTATGGAATAAAGAGAGAAAGAGAGAGAGAGAGACACAGAGAGAGAGACAGAGAGAGAGGGAGAGAGGGGGAGGGATAGAGAGAGAGATATTGAGAGAAATATAGAAAGAGAAGACAGAAAGAAAGTGAGTTGATAATTACTGTATGTCACTTTTTTCAAGCAAATTAAGTTATACATTTGCAAGATACATGTTCATGTTAATATTGCAGGAACCCAAGTATAAAGATTTTATAAGAAAAAAGCAAAGAAATTATAAATTACAATAAATTAGTTTGCCTGAAAGGTTTTATTTGCATTTTGCAATTAGAAAAGGGTTTTTCAATGCACCCCACTCAAAGACATAAAATGTTAAAAAGAAAAATATAAAAATGAAATGCCCTTCATAGTGACACAGAAATGCATGTATATGTAGAAATATATAAAAACCCTCAAATCCCGCTCAATGTCACATATATATCATGTTATGGCTTTGGCATGCATTAGCTGTGGTGATGGCAGAGCACCGATGAGATTCCGATGTATACAAGAGACAATAGTCTTTACCAAATGGCCTCCTTTGGAACTTTTTGTTTCTTCTTTGATTTTTACAATCTCCTGTTCAAGAAAAACATCAAATTAAAAAAAAAATTGTACATGACTCAACTGACTCAATTGACAACAAATTTGTTATTGAGGATGATGTTTTGATGGCTGGAGATCACTGCAAGGTTTACAGACACTCACTATCACTGTATATTGCAACAGAACAGACATGATGCAAAATGCATAGAACTACTATGTTCTACAACTATCATACATCAACATGTACTAAAACTAATGTAGATGTATATTAATCTTTCTAAGAAGCTGGTACAAGTACATATATATGACGATTAGAGCATACAGATACATTGATTGTATAGATTATTCATGTTGGTGCAATTGTCTTCAATTTCCACAAGTCTTACCTGAATATAATGCCACAAATATGGTATGATATATGATATCCGTATGGACTTCAAAGTTTTCCCAACAAGATAGATATGCAGGTGTTTTATTGCACAAGCCAAGAGAGATTTCATTCAGCAAATGTTTAACATATCACATGATATTTTCTCATGAAGTTATATATTTAGGGCTTAATTTTGACAATAATAATCTTTAAATTACACTTGGATGTATGATATGACTGGAGTCAATGCATCACTTGACAATGCATATGATCAAATTCATAACATCTGCTCAGAGCCAGGAGGGCATTCAAGTCTGTGTTAAAGAATATCATTTAAATCCCTTCTGGCTCCAAACTCAAGTTTCTAAAGATAATAGCAAAGTTCACATTGCAAAAAAAAGAAACACATAAACACAACAAAAGGCAAGAGCTAAGATTTCAAATGAAGTACATGTATCTCAAAGCACTCTATGCTCCGTGGGGACATTTCTAATCAAAATGAAAATCCATTATGTCTGCAAATCAATGCTCACAAGTCTGTCATTTATTGGAAAAGTTTGTTTATTCTGACATGCTCAAATATCAGCACCACTTAGAAGTGTTTATATATTTTCAATTACGGGTAAATTATATATATATATACAGCATTGTATTTCAAAATAATCAAAAGAAAAATAACATGGCTGTCAGAATCCATACAGTATTTCTCTCTTCCCCCCCCCCCCTTCTTCTACTCCACATGCAAGCCCTTTATTGTAAATACAGATGAATGAAGTATGATGATGGCCTTCCTCCACTAATGAAGGCTTAGGAATAAAAATGTCACAGCATAATGGTCCAATATTTTCATTACTTCTTTACTAGTTTGTCTTTCTTCTTCTGGAATGCCACTCACCTGCACAAAATTATAAAAATATGATCATTCAGTAGTATATCACTTGTTAGGAAGTTTGGGGTGCTTGTAAGTTTATCAATATATATTACTTGTACTGTAAGTGAGGAGTAGAGATATGTTACCTTTCTTTTTGATGATTTATCTCTCTTTTTATCAGTCTTATCAAGATGACTTCCACTCTTGACACTTCCTGGTCTGTCTTTGGACTCTGCTCTCCTGGAAGGGGGAGGCTGCAATTTCAAAAGTGAGAAATCATTTCACCCTTTACATTAATCTTTTTCAGAAAAAATATTGAGAAAATGGAGTCTTTGAGTGTAGGGGCTTTTTTCTTATGTTATTTGAGGGAACAAAATATAATCAAATAGTTATGTTGCAAAATTGTGATTGACAAAAAAACAAAAACATAAAGAAATGTTGAGGAAAACTCATAGGATACAAAGGTTGTTTGCAATTGATCATTGACACTAATGTTTAATCACTTAATGCAAAGTTTGTTTTCTCACCACAAAATTAAAACAAATTAGGAAAATTACTTTAAACCATCATCACAGTACTTTTCATTGACAGCAGAAATATGGAGTACTTAAATGTTGACAACATTAAACCAATTCACTCTTTAAAAGAAAAAAGCCAAGATATCTCATCCTGTTAGCTTCAATTTAATATCATCAATTATTTTCTAATATTCTCAGAGGCCGACGATGTCCAGTCATTGACTCACCGACTTGCCGCTACCCCTCTCTGGTGAACCCTTATCGCTGAGTGCCTTACGTCTCTCTACCACTTCAGTATGGGTAAGAGGGAACCTAGAAAGGATCTCCCCTGCGTAGATAGCTGCCTTGTCTGTCAATTCATTGCTGGCCAGTGACAGCGACAGCAGCACTCGATTCATTCTCAGACCCTGTAAAGAAAGAACATATCAATGTAGTAGCTTGGTAGAGAAGAAGAGGAAAATAAAGTTTTGATATGAATTTGCAGTTGATGAATGTTCTCAATTTGATGAAGAGGAAAATAGAAGACTATGAAGTGAAAAGAAAGAAAGATAGAAATGTAATTTCTTTCTTTATATTTGAAAATGATGATTGATTGTTCTATGCAGGGAGGTCCTCCCACCTCCCTGTTCTATGCCATGGCACTAATATCCTATGGCAAGATATTAACCCTGCACTTGCTACTCTCCACCCAGGTGTTAAATGGGTACCCGGTAGGATGCGACCGTCATTGTTGGTCAAACAGCTTCTGAGCGTCAAGTAACGCCCGGCTGGAATGCTCCCCAGGGAGTGGAGATTGTGCACACAGTGTGTGCGGACAAGCACTGAATCCAATGACCGGGGTAATAGTATATTTGTAAAGCGCTTAGAGACATTTGTATTAAGCGTTATATAAAAATTAAATATTATTATTATTATTTCATTAAGAAGTCATATTAATGACAGAAAAACAAAATGATCAACTAATCACCAAACCTGGCCTTCCCCTAAGATCCATGATTTGTAATAATAGGAAAGCCAAATAATGTAGGCGTACACTAATTTAACACTCTTTGTATTTTCATGGAAATAAAAGAAATTCAAATGTTAATTTAATTTTGCACATAATGAAATTCTATAAAATTCAAAGACGAAAAAAGAAAAAAATTGATGTTATAAACGGTAAAAAGGGTAACCCCTGAGGTGGATATGTCTAGAGGGTTAAACACAAATGAAATGTGAGAACTTGCAAAATATAATGAGCCGTACCTAAATCGCTAAGTAAAAATATGACACAAAATGATAATAATATGCAGCTCTAGGCTAAATTTTGTTTTCACAAAAATTACATGAACTTTATCAAATTTGATGTTACAAATTACAATGAGACAAGTTTCTGATTTGAGCTGTAGGGTCTGCTCCACAATCAACACCATCCACACCTTTTTTTTAATTAAAAAAAAAAAACATAATGTGTAGCCTCCATGACTTTGAAAATTATAAACCCCCCCCCCCCACATCTCTCTCTCTCCCTCCTCCTTCATCATCTTTCCTCTCATTCTCTTTCTCTCTTTTTCTCTTTCCTTCTCTATATATCTATCTATCTTTGAATCTATATACATGTATCTTCTCTGTCCCTCCAGAGAGAGAGAGAGAGAGAGAGAGAGAGAAAGAGAAGTAATAACAAAATATAATAATAATAATTTAAGAAATAATGCTTCATTTGCTTGGTTGTGCAACAAAGCAGAACCTTGAACAGTTACAAAGTTGATAATCTCTTGATGATATAAGCTCATTATGACCCCGAGGGATGTATCTAAAACCTTGTTGAGGTCACATGACTGGTTTGATTCTTGTAGGTAAATAGGACTTAAATATTTTCAAATATCTTAAAGAAAAGGTTGAGATCTTGTAAAAACAGGGGTGACAGTGAGCACTTAAAAAAAAAATCCCCCTCAACCCCCCCCCCCCCCCCCCCCCCCCAAGAGTAAAAATGAAAAGAAAAGGATTCGGGGAAACAAAATTGGAATCTATAGTGTACAGAAGTTGGGTATATTTATTATACATCTCATGAAAGGTAAATGAAAATACCTGTGACAATTTCATATAATCCTCTGGGCATTTGGTTGAGAAGAAAAAGAAATTTGTCTAATGAAAATTTCTCAGCACTTCTCCTAAAGTGCATGTAATCATGGTTAAGATACTTCTAAAATAGCCAGGAAAAAAATTAACTGGAAAGAATATGTTGATTTTAGACATCAAACAAGAAATTGAGATATCTCATTTTGTGGCAGCTTTGTATGTAAACCAATTAAACTGAAGGTTGAAGGTTGAAAAAACTTTCTTTAAAAAAGAAAAAAAGAAAAAAAAAGCTGTTAATAATGCCCACACAAATGATTCGTTTAAAGGACTACGTTAATTTGAGGTATCATTCCGTATCAAACAAGAAATGAAGTGATTGTGTTTTGGGGTAGCTTTCGAAGGAAACCAGTTTGCAGGTTGAACAAATTTTCTTCAAATAATAAATAAATAAATAAAAAGAAGAGAAGCTGTTATTGATGCCCAAACATACATGTACTAATGTCTGATCCTAAAGAAAATCAAGAATAATAACAATAAAAATAAAAAGATTATTAAGAGAGAGAGAGAGAGAGAGAGGGAGGTAGATAGGTACATGTATATACTAGAGAGAGAGAGAGAGAGAGAGAGAGAGAGAGAGAGAGAGAGAGGGGGGGGGGGGTTAACTTGATTCTCCCTTTAAATTCTAAAGTTCATTACGCTCTTCTATCAGATCTATCAAGTTTGTTGAGGTCACAAGCTGTTGGCTATGGCAGCATATATCAAAACAACCACAGTGTTATTAATGCCTTGTTAAATCAGAAGAAAAACATGTGTTGTTTACCTCAAATTGTTTAAAATGAGATAGCAAAACATTTTTATCAAATGCATCCATCAATATTTAGAGGAAAGTAGTTCATGGTCAAACGTATTTGTTTCACTCCTAATTGCCGAAGGGCACCTTTGGTTTGCAGTACTGATTGATACATGTAATTTCTTTTGATGGTCTTGTTTGAACTAAATATTCTGATTACCATATATTTGCACTTCTTTTTCTGAAGATATTTTCTTGAATAAAATTTTCAGGAATATTTCATCTTTTATAGTTTTCTAGAACACATACATCTGAAATTCAGTTTCATGGTAGTTATATTCAAGAACTTTATTTTCTGCAAGATTTTGTCATACATTATTTAGTTTTCTGCAATACATCTTGAAATTGTTTTTCTTTTTCTCAAAGATATTACAAGAAATGAGCTTTCTAGAAGCTATCTTCAGGAATTTCTTACAAGCTATTCCCTAAATTAAGAAAGACCTTTGAATTTCAGCCCATGAAGATATGTGGCAAGACTCCTTGAATCTGACAATTTTCTTGACTCAGAAATGATACTCAAGTGTGAAATAGTGACTAAAGTGCAATAATAGTTCCCCCAAAATACTTCTTTTTAGCTGTGTGGGCTCTTATCACATTTCAGCTGAAAGTACCAACTCAAAGGAAGAATACGTCCTTTTCTTTTCTTTCCTAAGTTCTTTCTTCTTTCCTTCCTTTCATCTTTCTTTCCTTTCTTTCTTCTTTCCTTCCTTCCTTTTATCTTTTTTTTAAATCTTTTTTTTTAATAACCTCTCTCTCTCATGTATTATTTCGTTCTTTATTGATGTACTTGGCAATTTTCCCCCTTTCCTTTGGCAAGGGGGGGGGGCAGTGCTATTTGGATACCTCACCAGAGACTACTTCAAAAGCACCCAATTAGCTCCCTGTTCAGTCCTCCATACTGTTTGAGATATCTGAATCCAGTTGATGAAGCAAACATATGATACTCACATTCATGATGTCTATTGCACCTGCTTCACCAAGCTTGTTGTTACTGAGGTTGAGTGAGAGCAAGTTCTTGTTGCAGGACTTCTCATTTGAGATGGCCTGACCTAGCGTCTTGGCTCCCTTCTCAGAGATCTTGTTGTGTCGCAGTGACAGGTTGACAATTCTGTAGCAGAGAGAAGCAAGCATCCTAAAATAAGAACTACTCTAGAACATTGCAAAGACGACTCGGTTTGTAAAGGGACAACCACATGTACATGCTAAGCTTAAGTTGTAGACAAAGACCCATTCTAAAACTTTACAAAGGCAACATGGTATTCAAATGAATCCCCACCGACTGTTTCTAGCATATACATGTATATATATAGATACTAGTAGATCCTCAGGATTGACCTCATAATCACTAGGGTAGCTGGGTAAATTAGTCAGTAGCTCTGCTGGTATTAAAAACCTTATGAACTGAAAATAATCTCTTGTATCAAACTGATAGTTTCTTGAGTTGATAGACTCACCTCATTTATCTCAGTACATTTTGTTTGTATACGTGTATGGGGGGGGGGTGTACTTATCAAGTAGTACAATGAAGAACAGAGTAAGATCAATTTTAACATACAGAATTAAGAAGAAGTAAAAACTTGAGGTATTAAATAAATGGGGAAACATCAAGAACATTTGAAATATAATTCTTCAGTCCTCAGATGGAACTAAATGTAAAACCTGACAAAGTGATGGCACCAAAACAACAAAAGCAATGAGGAATAAGAACAGATAAATGCTATTCTACTTACATGCTGTCTTCACCAATAAGACAGGCCCAAGGCTCTTCAGGAATCGGATTACCCTCAATAGTCAAATTCCTGCCATAAAAGAATGAAGGTACATGTATAACGTGGTTGCTCTTATTGGTACATCACCGTTCTCAAGAGAACAAGATGGTGATAGAAAACAAAACAAAACAAAAAAACACACGAAGGGAGACAAACATGGAAAGACAAATAAGTGCATTTGAGCGAAGAGAGATCCATGCATGCAGAGAGAGTGAGGCAGAGAGCAAGAGAGAGAGGGGGAGGGGAGAGAAAGAGAGATAAACAGAGTGAAGGAGGGAGGGAGCTAGGGAGAGACAGAGAGAGACAACAAAAGAGAGAGGAAAAGAGAGAGAGATAGAGAAACAGAGAAAGAGTGAGAGAGAGAGAGAGAGAGAGAGAGAGAGAGAATCTTACATGTATTATGTAAGTCACATTTTTATGCTTCATGTACATGTAATTAAAAAAAACACAAGTCAACCAATACAACTTTAGAGTTCATCATGTGCTCAGATCTAGTTAGTAATTAGCACAATTACATTTCCTAGAAAAATGATTGTACAATATGCTTGGGGAGAAAACCCCATATGGTTTACTATTTGATTAGAAGCAATCACACTCACATTCAATATGTCCAACCTCACAAAATTAATTGCATGATCAAAGTCACAGATTACTCTGCAGATGCACACACAATTCTTTAGATAATGAATATAGTGGTAGTTGGGCTTCATAAAAAAGAAAGTTCATACATTTTACAAGCATGCATTGAAACTCACTGGTTCTCAATAATTAACAAAAAATGGGGGGGGGGGGGGGAGGATGAAATTTAACAGAAAATGTGTTCATTTATAAATAATTTTTCAAAATATATATTATACTTACTTTAAATTTTGACACTGGGGTAAGAACGATGATAATTCCTTGAGTGTTTTTTGTGTTAGGCTTGTGTTCCATAAGCTACATGAAAATAAATTGTAAAGAGAAATGAAGATAGAATTTAGTTTCCATGCATTGTATGAACGAACATGAATAGTCATATTCAAGCAATATCTGAAAAATAACTTTTTGAAGGTCAAGCATGATTTCTATAACATGTACAGACATTCCCTCCCCTAGATTTAAGACCGTCTATAGAAACCCCAACGACTGGAAATGGCTTTCTTCCACTTTCCAGAGAGTTGTATTTTGAGAAATTATCTCAATGAAAATGTCCCCCCAAATGTCACCAGATTTTATATAAAGTACAATAGAAATATATGTTAAAACAGAATTTCATTCAAAGTGTAAAACAGTAATGAATATAAATTGTTAGCTTACATATTGAGCATTGAAAGAGGGGTCTTCCGTGCTCAAAGTACAAAGGAATCATACACAAAAAGTACTTTCTCCAAGAAGTGGGTGTTATTTTGCCGCAGCAATTACCCAAGCAAGCTTTGCAATCATCAGAGAGAACAACTCCAGAGATCTGAGGGTATATGATTTCATCTTAGAAATGTGATCCTACCCCTGGATTATACTTCCACTGCAGCTGATGAACCCTATCAAGTTCAAACTTTCTAGATCACCAACTAGCCGATACCCTTTCATAAAGCCCTGAGTGCGCTTATAATCATAGCATAAGGGGAAGATTAGAGTTTATGTGAACGGAACTACGTCATAATGATGCATACTATTTATTATTTCATCTAAAATCTAAAATTCACGAAGAGGACGATGTAGAAATCTTCATTTCCTGTCAGAGGGCACTTGATTTTTCCTCTGCATAATGCAAAGTTTGTAAAGGGTACATGGGTACATCATCAAAATAATTAATGCTTCTCTTTTCTTTTACGCAAATTTTCCAGCATTTGTGAACAATTTTAAATTTTCTTATTGGGTCGATGCGCATTAGTTTATGAAATGGGTACATGACTATTCCATGAGGATATATACCCTACATGTATGTGTAAACTCAGATAAATACATTTTCCTACTATTTCCATCGTGTTCAGAAATGCAATTATATAGCAGCCCATCAACAGATAGTCAGATTACTGTTGTGAAAAGCAGTTTTCTCAATTTGAAAGTTAGAGATTCCCAGAAAAGAAAAATCCCTGTTTTCCACTGATTTCTTATGTTTAAACAAAAACCATGAGAAATCCATATCTCTCATTTTTACAATGGAGATTGCAAACAGAAGAGAAGCAAGGTGAAACAGAGAAAGTCAAGCCGTACTTGATATCTGATCCCCTGACAAATAAAGGCTGTGTCTACATGTACATGTACATGTATGTTTTCTTGATTCATGATTCTTGGAAAATTAATGAATATACAACCTGAACTTATATATTCTCTAGGATTCTAGAAAACCCCAGGGACATCTCACATTTTAACCAAAAAACTACACTAGACATCCACCGTACCTCTTCACAACCAAACTCATGCATGATCACTACAGAATGGTATTAGAAAAATTGCAACTATCAAGAACACAATTTTTCCCCTTATTCTAAAAGTTAACTTCCTGGCATTACTAAATTTCCAAATGGCAAATTCCAAGAAACAATAAACAACTACATGTATGCAGAGCATTTAGATATTAAATTGAAAGTACATATTCTGATAATGTCTGAACATTTTGCTGTACTACTCAAATGATTACAAGTACCATAAAATTAGAGTTTGATTTTTTTTCTTCATTGTTTTTCTACAATGGGCATGATTCAACTGCGTGCGGATCACTCTACAATTCTTTCTGTTAAAGGACAAAAACAGTTATTTTTAGACAAATTGCACAGGACACATCAATTCCATGGCAGCACAAAAATAGCACACAAAATCTTAACCATAATGAGAAGTCATTGTACGATTACTAGTCCCTCTGAAATGTGATAATTAATTGCCGAGGGTCTGGTACTTTATTCACTGCCAGATCGTTGTGAGCAAGGAAGCATTTTATATCCTTTGAGTATTTGGGCTATCAATAAATGTACCTGTGGCAAAGTCAGCTCAGCGCAAGTAAGAAATGAAGGACAATGCCATGCCATGGAACGGAATGTCCTTTCATGCAGACAACCACCATTCTGTATAGTGCACATCATAATTATAGTGGGTTTCTTTTCTTAATTTTCTTTGCTTTTTTTAAATGGGAAATATTGTAAAGCCAAGCTCTCAGTTTGGAGGTAACAGATAACAAAAGAAAACATTAACAGTGCGACTGCAAAGACTGAAATCAAACTATGAGTATTTTCATGCCTGACATCATGTTGGGATTACATTATGTATGTAATCTGTCATTAATATAATGAAAGTCTCATTTGGGGAGTATTCCAGCCAGGGGGCCTATTACAAGTGCACACATCCCACTCCATCCTACTGGGTACCATTTAACACATGGGTGGAGAGTGGCAAATGTAGATTAATGTTTTGCCAAAAGATATTACTGCCACGGAGTGACTTGAACCACTAACCATATGATCCACAGTTCAGCGATGTATTATAACTAGACAACGACATATAGTCTGCAAGCACAGACCTTAATTTGACACTTTATCAAAAAATCATTGTGCCTTGAGAGAAGCCTAGCCCAGCTACCTACTGGTTGTCAGGAGCAGCTACAGTGCATGGCCTATGGTAGTCGTGCAGACTCACTTTTACGACTGACCAGGGTTTATGCTTGCAGACTAACCACGACACTTCTTCAATATTGACACATTTCAATAAGCAATTAAAGTGATCGATGCACTATATAGGCTTTGATGGAAATCGCAATGGTTTGATTTTCTTAAAGGTCTTTGCCATCACCCTACACAGAATAACACGAGAGCAAATGATTTATTTAATGAGCAAAGATTTATTTTCCCTATCACTAATGCAAGCTTACTGAGTATCCCAGCAGAGATTTTGTGAGCACTACTGACACCTCTTTAACACCTCCTGACCTGTCATTAGGACACACTAACGACCCCTAAGGGAGAAACCTTGTCAATGTACTTGTATGCCATAAGGACTGAGACATTATGGGTAACCCATCACTCTTAACGCCAGCAGCTCAATAACCATGGTGATTAGCTGAATGCCTTGCAGGAACAGATGGGTTAACAATCCCAGTACAGTGTGTTGATTAGTGCCTGGAGACTGGATAGACACCTCAGGTGTTCCATAAGAAGAATGAAAACTCAATCAGTAAAGGCAACATCGTTAAAAATATAAACACAGGAGGGTTTACTGTGATGGCCATATTGATTGCGATACTGAATAACCAATCAATACATTTTGTTTTTATAGGGCAGATTGACTTTCCTGTCGATCTAAAAGGGAAACGAAAAAAAACACAATTATTGGGAAGCTGCAGACAAATAAACCATTGATAGTCAGTAGACATAAACATTATTCGATCATCTCGATTGCATTAAACATTCAGAATATAGATTGAATTCAAGTCTCTTTTCAGAGTACCTATTATCAACATGCAGATGAAGGGATCGAGGTCCATGTACTTTCAAATCCCATCAGGAAAAATGAAATGTTGCACGTAGCTCCATAACGATCAAAGAGAAAACCTATAACAGAGCTCTCATACATACAACAGACAAAGAAAATATAAAAATATGCATGTAAATACTAGAATCACCGACAAGAATGAACACAAATCCCTTTAAAGGTAAAGACCAGTTATGGTCATGCGATTGCATTGTGAAAGAAACGTTGTGGAATCGATCAGAAAAGGTTGATCATCTAGCATCTAGCATCTGCAAGGTTCTGGAATCATCAAAATGATAAGTAATTTGGCCCATTCTTTGTAAAGTTACAAGCACTATACAGAGAAAGATGTATATGGGACTACCCTATATCTCTCACAGACTATGAGAGAAACAAATTTACCAAATATATGAATTAGTAGGCGGTTTCTCGGCAAATTTTTTTATCATCATGTATTAGTGAAAACATATTCTTTCACATGATTGGTAATGAGAGCTTCCATTTCATTTTTGAAATTGGGGCATTTCCAATACTGGTCTTTACCTTTAACAATTAAGTGCTTTTTACACTGCATAAATCAACATTTGAGAAAGCCACTAAACATATGATGGCCACAAACGCACTGCATGTGGAAATTAGCTTTCACATTTTATAGCAGTCTTCAACTTCTGTTTTTCATTTCCAAAAGACAACTTTACATACATGTTTTTCCTATTTTGTACGAATAGAAGGTCACCTACAATTTCTTGTCCATTGAGAAAGTCAGAAGGGAATTAAATCAGATGCTTTTACTGAGTTAATATCCTTCAGGCTCTCTACTGAAAATATGAAGGACTTATTTCACAACTTGCCTTCCAGTTGTTGTTGTTGTTGTTGTTAAAAATCCCTTTCACTTCTTGCTCTAAGTTGGAAGCATTCAGATTTTACATGTCAATCCAACTGGGTATGCTTGAAGCAACCATGTCCATCTACTTTAAAAACTCCCACTCTTTTCTAAAGAAAAATTTCTTTGGCCACAAATCGATCTGTATCCTTCCACTTCTAATATCCTAAATTGGTACATTTGTCTCCCTCCACACACTTTTGAAAAACTTGTTTTCAAAGGAGATTGGCATTTGAAATGCGTGGTCCATTGGAATATCCTGGGGGTGTATGTGACATATCAAGAAAAATACGGCGCTGTGTTCTTAGATGTGTTTATAAGTTCAAGAACACAGCAATCCAACCACATACACTACCCACAGGGACCACATCTATCTTTCCTTGGTCAAAAACAACCTGTTAAGAATCAAGAGTCTCCATCCCTCCTCCACTTCAGTGTGCAAAACTCTTGCTTATTCACAGGATTCCATTATACACATGTCCAGTATGACATTGTTTGGTAGGTACATTTTTATTCAATCAAGATGTGAAGGATCTCTTGAGGTGACCATTGCCTTCAGGTCCTCTCTGGTGCATTGCCTTCAGGTCTTCTCTGGTGACCATTGCCTACAGATCCTCTCTGGTGACCATTGCCTACAGGTCCTCTATGGTGACTATTGCCTTCAGGTCCTCTCTGGTGACCATTGCCTACAGGTCCTCTCTGGTGACCATTGCTTTCAGGTCCTCTCTGGTGACCATTGCTTTCAGGTCCTCTCTGGTGACCATTGCTTTCAGGTCCTCTCTGGTGACCATTGCCTTCAGGTCCTCTCTGGTGACCATTGCTTTCAGGTCCTCTCTGGTGACCATTGCCTTCAGGTCACCTCTGGTGACCATTGCCTACATGTCCTCTCTGGTGACCATTGCTTTCAGGTCCTCTCTGGTGACCATTGCCTACAGGTCCTCTCTGGTGACCATTGCTTTCAGGTCCTCTCTGGTGACCATTGCTTTCAGGTCCTCTCTGGTGACCATTGCTTTCAGGTCCTCTCTGATGACCATTGCCTTCAGGTCCTCTCTGGTGACCATTGCTTTCAGGTCCTCTCTGGTGACCATTGCCTTCAGGTCACCTCTGGTGACCATTGCCTACAGGTCCTTTCTGGTGACCATTGACTTCAGGTACTTTCTGGTGACCACTCAATTCTTTTAAATAAGCTACGGCTTATTGGCTTGAATGTAATGTCATTACAGTGGTTTAGTAGCTACTTAGCCAATCGCATGCAATACACTTGTGTAAATGGGGTTCATTCCAATTCACAAAAGATGCAATGTGGAATACCGCAGGGGTCAAATATTGGCCCATTGTTATTTATCCTATTTATTAATGATATGCCTTTATGTCTGAAAACATGTAAAATATCTTTATATGCTGATGATACGTGTCTATATAACGCTAGTGCAAATCATCAAATTCTTACCGAATCATTAAATGCAGACTTATTACTTATTGATATTTGGTTAAAAAGGAACAGACTTGCTTTAAATGTACCAAAATGTGAATTACTTTTTATCGGAACGAAGAAACGGCTAAAAAATATTATAATACCAGATGTTTACATACAAAATGTTCCTCTCAAACGTGTAACCCACTGTAAGTATCTTGAAATAGTTATTGATGAACATTTGGATTGGGGTAAACATATTCAATATTTAAGTAAGAAGGTATTAAAAGATATATATTTGTTAAAAAGAATTAGACCATATGTTACAGAGCAAACTGCACTAATATTTTATAAATCAGTAATACAATGTAAGTTTGATTACTGTAGTGCAATTTGGGGGAATACCGTAAAAGGAAATTTAGACAGTTTGCAAAAGCTACAGAATAGGACATTCCGGGTGGTACTTCAAGTTGAATGGAGGTTCCCAAGCCGAGATTTATTTCTTTGTCTGAAAATAGAAAATCTATCAAAACGGAGAGATGAACATGTTCTATGTATTTTGTATAAAATAGTGCATGGAATGATATATGGTGGGTTTAGAAAGTACTTTGTTATTAAAGAATATCATTATAGCTTGAGAAATGCTCATAAAACCTTAGAACTGCCAAAACCACATACAAATTTTAAGAAAAGGAGCTTATGTTATAGAGGCATTAAATCTTGGAATCAGCTACCTATGAACGTAAAAAATATGTCTTTCTCTGTATTTAAATCAAGGTAATATAAATATTAATTTTATATTTTGTTCACTTAAATATATACTTATATAACAATAAAATGTAAAATAAACGCTGTTTGGAAAGAATAACTGCCAACGGGGGGGGGGGGGGGGGGGGGGGGCTGGGTAGTAGTATCTTGGTTTGTAAATTTTCATTTTTCTTTGTATACTTATGTTCTTGTTTTTGTTTTTGAATTTTGTTTTTTAATATTTCATATGTTATGATCGATATGTGTTATCTTATAATTGTACATGTAATTTTTATATTGCGCACAGACCAACAGAAGAACAGCCTTTGGCTGAAGTTGGTGCCGTGCAAAAATAAAATAAACTGAACTGAAACTGAACTGAACCATTGCCTTCAGGTCCTCTCTGGTGACCATTGCCTTCAGGTCCTCTCTGGTGACCATTGCCTTCAGGTCCTCTCTGGTGACCATTGCCTTCAGGTCCTCTATGGTGACCATTGCCTTCAGGTCCTCTCTGGTGACCATTGCCTTCAGGTCCTCTCTGGTGACCATTGCCTTCAGGTCCTCTCTGGTGACCATTGCCTTCAGGTCCTCTCTGGTGACCATTGCCTTCAGGTCCTCTCTGGTGACCATTGCCTTCAGGTCCTCTCTGGTGACCATTGCCTTCAGGTCCTCTCTGGTGACCATTGCCTTCAGGTCCTCTATGGTGACCATTGCCTTCAGGTCCTCTCTGGTGACCATTGCCTTCAGGTCCTCTCTGGTGACCATTGCTTTCAGGTCCTCTCTGGTAATTCTACCATTTATAGTTAATGGTCATATCAAGACATTTTCATTTTTGGATGAAGTAAATGGGGAAAGGCTCAATTCGTAAGATAAACACATTTCACAAAATTGCCCATTTACTGCCTTTGTGGGCGAAGGGGAGAGGAGGAGGTAGTTGATTTAACGGAATTGCAGGATACATGTACATAGTATGACTTACTTGATTGTATGAAGTTTTTCTATTGCTGGGAAGCACTGCTTGAAGATGCCTACCATTATCTCATCAATTTTCCAACCTGCAACAGAAAGAAGAAAAGAGAAGAAAAAAAGATTTAAAATGCTCATTCAAACCAAGCACCAATTTACATGTTTATATCTAACATGATCAAAAATACTATCAAGAAATCAACTCTGTCAATGTTAATATTGAATGCCTATATTTAATACAGGAAAACAAATGTTTGTTTTTGTCCCTTTTTTTAAATATCTCTTTCTCTTGTTCTTCATATGGTTTTTCCACCAAAGCAATACTTGTCCCAGATCAAGTATAACTTGTAACAGTGTGCGGATGCTGTAATTCCACATGTTTCATACACTGTAACTTTCATTGTATAAGGAAATGTGAAGAATGAGAAATCAGTGGCTTCAAACAGTGTTGAAAACTTAATGAGAATTTTAGACAAGAGTACACAAAAAAACTTCCCATGCCATCTGAATTCTAAAATCACAAGTCATGTCAGTCACATGACCACTTAGTCAAGTTTAATCAATAAAAAACCTAAGACTTCAAATGCAATTCATCTCTTTTTAAAGGCCCTCCAGTAAAGAATATTATGTTTACTAACGAATCTCTCAATCTCTTTCTCTTTCTCACTTGATAGACAAATCAAATATTTCCATGTTATTGCTCAGATCAAAAACACTGTATTAAAACTCTACATTTTGTTTGATTGTTCTATCTTTCTAGTGAAATATTGAGATAACTTATCAAAACCCTGAGGATGGTACGTATCACTTAAGAGGCTATAGTTGTTATCACTATATATACTTTTTTTAAAGCTTGAAATGGCACTTTAACTTTTCATTTGATCCATCTCAGATTAAAGTGGTTCAGAAATTGCCCTGAAGATATCACATCGTATTCATAGAAGATTGAGTCAACAATATGATTTCAAGAAAGAGATAAAATACATGTACATCATTGATGATTACACATGGTTGGAAGACATTGTATAGCAAAATATCAGATGATGCAAAATAAAATCTGTTATTGGAATTCAGTTAATAAAAAGATGAAAATGCATGGTCATGGCCATGATCTTATATGGTTAGAAGGTGCAGTAAAGTAACAGATTGAAGCAAAATGAAATTTGTTTTCAGAATTCAGATACAAAAGAGATAAAATTCAGCATAGATTTAGCCATGCTTTCATATGGTTGAAAGATATAATACCGTCAGATAGATATCTGATGAAGCAAAATGAAATGTGCTTCAGGAATTTTCCTTGTGAGGAACGTTTCCCCTGATAATGGATATTAAGTCCAGATTCAAAAAAATATTAGGACTATCTATTCTTTATTGAATTAATGTAGATGTATTATTGAAGGCATTGTTTTAAAATAAGCATTTGTTTTAAATTAATATCATTGTATTTGTCAAATGCACGAGATAAAATAAACATTTCATGATAAGTAATAGGAATTCATGTTGTTCTCTTTAATTCTATTCCCGTTGGATAGATATGTACATATGATTTTTAAATAGCTGCAAACAGATTGCGCTTGAATTCTTTCTCTTTGTAATGACTTGCTTTGATGAATGAGAACATGATAAATGAGAACATACACATACAAGTAGGTCAAACCTCCATCAATGCATACATCTCACTAAAATTAGTCAAATTCATCCTTGCATTGGTAAAAGCTTTATAAGAATATTCATTCTGCATTTTCATGCACATGTACCTTCTTTTAAGTTTTATGGAATATTATTGCCATATTTCTTGTTTCATTGCTTGATTGAGATACTCATCTACGTATTTATCTATTCATTTTTTTTATTTATTCATTTATTTTGTTTGTTCATTTATTGATTCAAAGTTTATCTATTTATCTGTTTGTTGCTTTTAAGATTAATCGACCGTTTTCTTTCAATTTTCATTCATTTTTATTACTACCACAGGCCTTAAATTTCAATATTTTTAGGGCAAGGCCACTTTTCTGTAGGGCACATTCCTATAGTACAGCACAAATAGGAAGAATTGGAAAGGGCACACAAAATCTCCAAGGCCAATGAGAGGGGCATTGAGGCCAATCAAAGGGGCATCCAAGGCCTGGCCTTGGATGGCCTTGGATTAATTTAAGCCCTGCTACCATAATCGAAATTGTACATATAAGACAAAGACACCTACCAAAAGTTAGCCCCCATACACAATATGGTCTGGTTACACTATGTGGCATTCCAAATAATGGTCATATTTCTCCTATATTTATTTTTGCTGACACTTTAAGATCAGATTGCCACAAGAATAGCAGAAATGGACCATACAATCTGCTTGATGAATGCTCACTGGGATGGGTGATAAGGAGCAACATAGTGATCAGGTGTGTATACATATACTGGCCGGATGTATGTTGATTAATCACCGGAAAGCTTTATCATTCCTCTCGATCCCTACACTGCAATACCAATTAGAAATGCACAATCTAGAAATGAGTCTGGCAAATGTGGTTTTGATGGTTTCTGAGTAATTTGTCTCTTTCCCCTTTTTTTTTCTCTAGACAGACAAGAATTAAAGGATAGGTAAGAGGAAGGGAAATTCCCCTCATGAAGCACCAAGCATACATGTACCAGTCCACCTTTTTCTCATTACTGTTTGATGGTTCTTGCAATTATCTCTGGTTAAGTAATAGCAATTTCTCTAGTACTGAAATATAGTGATCTTTACTTTCTATAACTAGATTCATGTCATGTACATGTACACGCACACTTAAAAACTACCCCCACCGATCAAATGAAATAGGGGAAAGAAACAGCAAATTATCAGAGTGAATTTCTTGATTATGATACCAAGCAAATAACAGAGTAGATCATGCGCCAGAATCAGACAGCTAAATGTACCAAAGGCACAGGAATTAAATTTTAAAACCTTTTCGTTTTCTGTTCTATTCCCCCGGTTATATGCAGAAGACTGCAGTGCAAGACTGAAAAAGATCAAACCCCTATATTGAAGGGAGGGAGGGATCCTTCTGGAACATCATTCTACTTTTCACAGACAATCATGTCAACTTGGGTATAAGATGCTGCAGACATTTAATTTTGTTGACACTTTCCAGATGATGTTGCCCTACTTTGTATCATCAATATACATTTTATAGACAGTGAAATTGCTGTGAGCAATCAGCTCTGCAATCACACACAAGATCTGTCTCAAAATAAACATCACACATGTAGAACTGTTTATTAAAGCAGACAATGTAACTTGCTTCATTATTTAGAAAAGTCTCTGCTCAGACAATTTCAATTCCCTATAGTATTAATTGCCTAGATATTGTAGGTTAAATGACGAGGATAGGAGGCTGATGCCGTCTATCATTGCACCAATCTTCAGGTGATTTTCTATTATTTTCCTTTGAATTGGACTGCATGCATCCAACCCGATTGCAACTGTGCTATAATACCTGGAAACTGAGATTAGAAGAGCGTTCATACACTTTCAAAATTGAACGGTTTGCCCTGATTTTTCACCGTACTAGTAACATGTCAAGACAACTTGTCATTTGAAATGATCATATCATGGCATGTACATGTACACAAAGGTACATCCATTTTTTTAATCAAAATTGATTCCCCCCCCCCCCCCCCCCATTAATGTACTGTACACATTTCCAGTAGCCTCATACACTGACACTTCCAAAAAGCTGAATTTCCAATCGGAAAAGTTTTTAAAATGGCATTTTAAAATCAGTTTGGTTCCAAAAGGTACTATATATCCATTTATATACAAATATCTTGTCATGATAATGTGAAGTTGTACCAAACCTACTGGCACTAAACAATTCATGTCATGCATTGTAACTTGCATATATACAGTATGCAAGATTTTGGTTCCAAAAAGGTTCTACATCCTCAAACATGAAAAAAAAAAACATAAATTCATGAGAACAAAATTGTGCAGACTTTTTTAAAGAGTGGTTTTCTAGTTGTATCATACATTAGTATAATCAGCCAAAGTATCATTCCAAACTGACATTGCTAACTTTGATAATTAAAAAGTCTTGTTTTCCTCAGAACTTGGATTTCTGAAGGTACATGTAGTACCTTTTGGAACCGAGCTCTTCATATATACAATGTATGTATGATGAAATTCTCAAAATAATCACATTGACTTAAAAGAAGGTGTACCAATCAGCTGAAGAAATCATTTGTGTGTAAGTATATATAGAATGTTTTAAATCAGTCTCAAAACAGGAAATGAGTGTCTTCCATATAAAGATATACTTCCATTGAAAGGCTGTGCAAGCTTTCTCCTCAAACTTTACATAAACACAGGTTCCTTCAACCAACCGGACCTCAAACTGAGTACATCATCTAAGGAGAGCTTAAAAGGCACTAGCTTTGTATTTAATTTCAAAGTCATTGTCCTTATAGCCAATCAACAGATGTGTCTATATTCATGCCTTGATCTTCCCAACTTCCTAGTAATAAGAAAAAATAACTTGCTTGCAAAGGAAACCTCACCCCTAAGAATAAGTGTAGGTATACTGAAAAATAAGATGTATTCTTGCCTTTGGACATTAAATATTCCTTGCAAAAATATACGAGAGATTCATAAAGGAAGATATTCTTTGCATGAAGAAATGCAGACATTTTTCTTGAATGTGTGATGTACCAGGCGAAAATGTACATGTACATGTATCGTGCACCATGCTTTAGTTGGAAAGACTTTTTAATTTAATTATAAAAAGGAATACTTTTCAATGAGGGAAAATCATGGCTGAGAAGGTAACAATTGTAACTCACTTATTTCAAAGAAAATGGTGATGCCAATGTCGTGCTGAGAAATTGTACGTTATTCTTGCTTTATGCCTCTTTCATACACCTTGGTGGGGAATCTTGTAGATTAATGGGCAATGATACAATAAATTTCTCAAAATATATCTGAAGTTATTTCTTGGGATGAGGTTTCCTTTAAAGGCAGTGTAGTTCCCAAACATGTACTTCACTAGAAAGAACCTAGTAACAAATCAAAGATTCATTCACACCAACCTCGGATGAAGATTTCTGTGACAGTGTCTGGTTTGTCCTCTTTCTCCATCTCTACTTGGATCTTGGGTTTGAAGAAGGAGAACTTCTCCTTGGTAACATACGTCTTGGGTTTGGGCTCCTCCCCATCGTCCTCTACCTTGTCCTCCGGGGTGGGGTCCGCTCCCTTGGACTTGGGGTCAGGAGGAGGGGGTGTGCCTGGTCGCTTGGGTCGGATGACCACAGGGGGCATCTCAGCCACCTGTAGCCCCGCCCGACGCCAGAGTTCAGTGAAGTCGGCCTCAAAGTGACCAGTGCAGGTGTAGGGTTCTGCAATGATTCAATAATAGAGAGTAAAGAGAAAATATGTGTGTGTGGTTGTAGCGTGAGTTTGAAGAGGGGTGCATGCATGGTCAGTATAAAGTATAAAGGTCCTCTCTTTTCTAGAGACAATTTTTGCATTTTAAAACCACATTTTGAGGATATTACCTTATTGATGTAATTCACTCCGCCCTTAATTTAGAATTGGAAATGAATGTTAAAAACACATGATTATGGGTTCTCATGACAAGTTTGATACCATCAGGCTAATTACCTTATAAAAATGTTCTTAATTACAAAGAGTGGATTTTACATTACAAGCAGCAGGTCTTACATATTGTACACACCCTCCACAAATTTCAGGAGAACTGCACATGAGGATAAATCATCATCTCAAATTCTGTATGGAAATGAAGACGTTTACATGTATGTTTTTTAAGAAAAAGACATTTGTTAAAAGTATTTTTAATAGGGTTAGGGTAATTACCTGGTGTTTTGTTGGCATCATCTTCATTATCTTGAACGGACGATGGAGGTCCTTTATCCTTCTGCGTCTTATCTACTCTTTTCCCCATCTTGACTTTCTTGACTAACCTATTAAAGAAAAATTGGAAGAAATAGAATCAGCAAAAAATAAAAAAATCAACATAAATGGTTTTCTAATCAAAGATGCAAGAGGGTTCAGGATAATTTTGGGGGGTCTTTTAACCCATAAAAGCTTGCTGGATAAACTTCCCTTGTTTTTTATTATACACAAAAAATGGATAGGTCTGTTCAGCTACGTAATATTTCTTGCAATGCTTGGAGAGTGGGAACTTTTTGTTACTTCAATTTCAAATCTTTATAGAAAACAAAATATGTTCATTTTCAGTTAAATTCTTAAAATTCTCTTTTAGTAAAATTGCCACAGCATCAAATAAGGTTTAAAAGATGATGGAATATGCATCTTATTTAATAATCATTTTATTGGATGGAAAATCTGGGAGGACATTTTGAATATTTCTAAAGGGATATAACAATGAAGTATACATGTAAATGCAAATAAACAGATGATCCAATGAATTATAAAGTGATACAGTGAAGTGTGTATTATACTCTAGTTAAGGAAATATATAACTAGGGCTGCATGAAACTTGTAAATATAGTTTGAAGATGTAATGTTCAATGAGATGAGGAACAATTGTATGGTCAAATTGTCACAAAAATCAAGCATCACAAGTTATCAGCTATAAATCATACACTTCAATCTATTAGTATATCCTACATAAAGAATGCACTGTCAAGCATTCTACATGTCACTGTACATCCCACATTACTTGTTCAATTTGATCTTTTAACAACAACAAAAAATCGATTCCTAACTGTAAACAGTATGAAAGAAGAAGAAGAAGAAGAAGAAGGAGAAGAAGAAGAGTAAGAAGAAAGAAGAGGAAGAAGGTGATAAAGAAGGAGAAGAAAAAGAAGAAGAAGAAATTTCCACTTTCCCCCTTCTTGCCCTCAAAACCCCACTTACATTATCACACCCCAGTCTTCATACACAGCTAGGGTTCCACAATAATATTAATAAATTATGTGTCCACAAACTTTCATCTTTCAAGTCTGGACTCCCAAATTTTGAAATTGAAAATGGGGTTCCAAACAGACTCTAATCATTCAAATCACTACATGAACATGTATGTGAATTTTGTTTTATTGTAAAGCACTATGGTGTACGATACTCTCTAACTATCTTCTCTCTTCGATCCTCATCTTCATTTTCTTGACCAAGAGAGTGTTACTAAAATATAGTTTACCGCAATAACCATAACAGGCATGACTGTGCCCCGTTGCATAAAACTTACTATTGATGATAACTTTGGCATCAATGTCAACTACCATGGTAACAGGGCTCAACAGTCAATCAAAATCAAGGTTTTCATGGTAGTTATCATTGATGGCAAAGTTACCATCAACAATTAGTTTTGTGGAACAGGGCCCAGATGTTTAAAAATAATTGATGGTGTATGAAGTTAAGTGTATGAAACACGTTGTAGCCTAAATATCTGTATACATGTACATGCACATGACTGTAAAGTATAAGGCCTCCAAGTGGAACAATAAATCAGTGTATTAAATATCTTTAGCGCAGTAACCGGATGACAGATCAATCTTGTCTTTGTATTGCTCCGTCATCTGGGAACTTCAACTGTCAAAAATGTTATTTCTCTAGTTAGTCTGATAGTCTGATATAGATAATAATAAAATTATATGGTTTTGTTTTCGTGTGATACAAGAATAAAAATATATTGCTCTCGCTATGAAAAGTAACATTGTCAAATGAAAATCTTAAAGAAAAGGTTGAGTTCTGGGAAGATCGAGGTGAAAAATAATTTGTGAGCGTCATATCCTTCTTATTATGCAAGTGTGGAAGAACATCAGATAAGACATGTTCCCTGAAAAGCATGGCTCTTCAAATGCCTTTATATTCTAAATAAGTCATATAACATCGTAAAACTCGGGGTAGGATTTTTACGCCACGTGCTCGTGTAGTCCCATATACATCTTTCTGTGTACAGTGTTTGTAACTATACCAATTAGACTTGGCCACATTTCTTTTCATTTTGATGATTCCAGAACCTTGCAATACACACAAATTCTTGTATGCTAGATAATCAACCTTTTCTGGTCGATTAATTCCACACCGTTTCTTTCACAATTCAATCGCATGACCAGAACTCAACTTCATCTTTAAGTGCATTAAAGCGGGACTGTACTACTAGCTGTGCCCTCCGTATAGCAAACAATGCCTAAGAGGTACCCGTTGGTCCCCCATAATCCCCTTTTTCTTAATATGTTAATTGAGAGCTGATTTGATGAGATAACCACCTATCATTTGCCACGCTTGGAGGTCTAATCCCTCCTAGCCGAACTAGTGCAGACAGGCTTTAAGATGGATTGCAAACAATACGCATGGGTTCTGTAATCAGAACAGGAAATGTTTTGATACCCCTCATTGCCTAAGGGTGGGAATACACGAATGGTAATAAAAGTAATTTAACATGCAATTATACAATACTGGGGTGTTCTGAAGAGTATACAACTATACATCATGTGCTAAATGTGATGTGATTGTGAACTGGAAATAACATCAATGAAATGACTGAGGCTGGGAATAATGAAAACTTTGAATAGCTTACGTTGTCATTTTGAGCAAAAACCCATGTACAAGGTCCACTTCGTCCTTATAAATATAAATAAAAAGTTTTTATAGATTAGATCTACTGTACATGTACACGTAAACTGCTGGACTGAATAATTACCGTAATATAGAATCAAAGGGTGTACTATATAACTGAGTAGAAATATATACCGGTATATATATATTTTTTTTTGGGGGGGGGGGGAGGGACACTTAACAAAAATAAAGCTGTCACCTTTGTTTTTAGATTTAATGAAATTTTGTATGTTAACTTCAAATTGCTGTTCGCAATCAACTGCCCTAATAACAAACTTTTCTTGATATAAGTCTTGTTCGAATATGAAGCGTTAAGCTGCAGCCTTTTGTTTTTAATGACGATTAAAAGGGCAGTACACTTCACATTTCTGTATCGTATTTACACAAAAGCTACATGCATACAAGTGAATTGTCAGACCTTTGTACCACGTACAATGTAGTTGCCATTCATTTACACTTAAAAACCTTTTTCTTGGGGGGGGGGGGGGGGGTGCAGCGGTAATGCGTCTAATCTGAATGAGCGTTTAGTGTTATATTTTTTCATACAGCACTAAAGCTAAAGTATACATGTATACAATTGTACTACACAGAACATATTACTTCCAAATTTTCTTAATACTGCAAAATTCTTGAAATGCACTTAGACTATTTCATGTAGCCCAGTACTAGTATCAATTAAATCAAAAGGTGTGCTGAGCTTGGCAATCTTTTAAAGAACAATTGTTCAAGGTGGTTTGTGCTATCTGATACACATTTTTTGTAAAACCCAAAAGCAAATTTGATACTGATAATTTTTTGTGTGTAAATGTAAAGGCTAGTACGCACACTGACTAAAGCATACATGCATATAGTCCGGCAGCCACTGAGCTACACCTCGTTTTGTTGAAATAAGTTTTTTTCTTGATGGATTCTGTTTCCTTAGGCATTGCAGATGACCAAACAGAAAACTGGAGCTTTGTCAGTGTTGAGCAATTTAAGATATGGCCAAAAACAAAATGGCCGCCAAAATAGCCTATTTTCAGTCAAATTTGAATTATTTCATAATACCTTACAAAATATTGGCAGAATGGTGTGCTTATAATTCACGAAGACCATTGTCAACACATTACTGATGACCATACATGAACATAGATGACCATAGATGACATAATTAGCATATTTTCCATTGTAATTGTTGATAATTTGCATATTCAAAATGGCGGATAAATGCCAGCTGTTAAGCTTAGAATCACAGTATAATAGTATTATACTCATTTCTTTTTATCTTATGTTTTCAATTCCTAGAATACCTAAGTGTACCAAATAATTATGTCATACTCATTTGTCAATAATGACTAATTTAGATAATGGGAAAAAACAAAATGACCACCAAAATGATAATATATACATTTAGACATCGCACGGATGCACGACACGCACAGAACATTGTGCACGCTAATTTGGCTTTTGCATCCACATCCTGTTGATTTGCATGGGTTGTCACTTGCACAATTGCAACGTATATGTTTGCAGGTGCAAATTTCACATTTGGAGGAGTGGTTACCGGGATGAGTGACTTTGTTACCTTGTCTTTCATGTAACCAAATGCAGTGGGATCCAATGTTGATGGATTCATTTCCAATTAAGCACTTTTCCAAATCCATGTTTGAAGATGGGCACGCTTAACATTATCTTTGAAAGCTTCGGTTGTTGGTGGCATTGCAGCAAGATTTGGAGTGTTGGTAGCTCCTGCTTTCCCGAACCGTCTAGTCCACACATTCAGTCGGGCATTAACAGTGTCGTAGCATTGGGTTGTCCATAGCATCATCACATCGGCCATATCTGCATGTATGTCTCCAATCGATGGCAATGGGAACCCATTTTTCTGCCGCAGCACTTTTAGCAAAGTTCCTTTGCCAACTCCAAAATGTGCACCAACAGTATCACAACATGTCAGTGGGTGACCTGCTAGCATAGAAGGGATGATGTCTCTGTGTCTGTCCACTGTGGCATGTATATCGATTACAGATCTGTCTCTAATGGGCGACTCCATTTTCTAGGGTGACTGAAGGCCTTGATTTTGGTAGAAATGAAGCAGAAGAGCATAGAAATCTGTGTCGTCTGCAGGCACCCTGATGGATCGTCCTTCATCTGCAAGCATGATAGCCTGCTGCACAATAATCACATCAGCCTCCTCATGAGATGTGGCCATATCATGACGTTGGATTGGAACACCACCTGGACCTAGTTGAACAGGGGGGTGTTTCACAAAGATCCCAAGTCGAACTTAACTCTAAGTTGGACTTAAATATTATGGAGAGCCATTTGTAGCCTTAAAATAAAATATGTTCAAAGCGAAAATTCAAGTATTTTAGACTTTTTATAAATTCCAGATCAAGAACATGAAATCTCCTTGATAATAGAACATTATGATTGATTTAAATCAACATTTTATACCTCTTAAAAAAACTTTTACAAAATATTTTCAAAGATGCTAACAGCTTTCCATAATTTTTAAGTCCAACTTAGAGATAAGTTCAACTTAGGATCTTTGTGAAACATCCCCCAGGAGTGCCATCTTGGCTGGTGACCACAAGCTTGTGTTTTATGATGAAACCTGCATCGCTTTGCAGATGATGACAAATGATGTTAATCAACTGTTTCTTGTTCTCTGTGACTGTCAGAGTCAGTTTCTGAGACGGAAGAGGTGAAGTTGGACTCAGTTGGAAAACTCTGCAACCATCATTGCCTCTCGATATTCTGGTTGCACACTTGGTGCTGTAATCATTGTACCTGTCAAAGACCAAATACACATCACCGGATTTTAGTCTCTCTTCAATCTTGCCTTTGAATTTCGATACAAAGTCCACCACTGTTGGTTCTCGTGTTGGTGGTGATGAATCCAAAGGAGAGCACAGCCATCGATCACTCTACACGTTTCTTCAAGTCTCGCGTGTCTAGCTGATACTTCAACCTTTGTCTCTGGTTCTTCAAATCGGCCTTGGACTTCGGGATATCCATATCTCCAGACTCATCAAACAGAGCTGTAAGAACTGGCGACAGCTCGCATGATATTACATCATGAAATTCAACATCTCTGGAACTTGCTTGTAGACCTATCACGCGAGAGTATATCAACTTGGTATCGTATACCTTGGAATCGCCTACGCCAATTTATTTCTTCATGAAAGCCATGGTTTGAACTTTCTTCGAAATTGTGTCGTAGAAACCTCCAGGCAATTTCCGTTCAAACTCATCCATTTGCTGAGCACCAGTTTCAACTGCCCTGTCCACATTCACTGATTCAGGAGCGATTTGTCCATTGACCACATTGACAATGTTCGCTGGGTGCTTCTTTGGGTCCATTGGATTGACGCTCACATCCAGTTTTCTGCGCAACCAGTCTCTGTCACCTTGGTCTGCAGATATCCTTGCTGGAGTCTCTTCTTTGTGCACTGTTTTAGAACTAGCCGACTTGTCTCTCAGAGTTAAAACGTCTTCCACAAGTCTGATACATATGTGCAAGCTAAGGGCCCAGGTCTTGAGAGTTTCTTGCTTTAGGGTGATGCCAATCACACCAGCTTTACCATGCCAATATCGCATGAATGTTGTCTCGATGAACATGTCGCTCCATTCCGCATTCCATAAGCCTTGAGTGTGTCTCATCACATGAGACCCTTAGGGCTTCCATGCGTCGAAGGTAGAATAACCCATATCGCGTATAGTTTAGATGTCCCAACGCAAAGAAGTAGGGCATCATAAGCTTCACTGTCTCCAGGTGTAGTGGCTAATCACTTTCTCGTATAGCCCGTATATAGAGCATCATTATCAGTACTAGTTTGATCAGGGTGTACCTCTACTGCAACCCTGTTCAGTTGTTGATCTGCGGGTGAAGACAGTGAAACATTGACCAGTTTTCTCTGTTTAACTGCTGAGATTTGCTCATGGCTGTCATTGTTGTGTCTGGATGTGCTGGTGGCATATCAATCAATGAAACAATGCTTTAGTTTGGGGTTGTGTGGCTTCTTCTTGATTGCGACACAAATGCGTATTATATCCATTGAATTCAGGACAGTTATCACGCTGCACAACATCTGTCAAGAACCTGAGGTCACACCCATTAGGTCTCTGTCGAGAAACCATATGAGCGAGAACACTAAGTGGTGAAACTTGGTTCTTGACAGGTGGCATATCTGCTTTCCTTGGACCATTGTATCTCATGATGTCAAGCCTGTAGTCAACATCTCTAGACATCTCAGCCTTCTTCAGTTGTGAAATCTCTTGCTGATCATCATGGTGCATGCTTGTATCTGGCTGGGTCATGAGAACTGCAAGGGAATGTGTTGACAATTTACCGTTCTGAGATGAAACATCTGCATTAAAGTTGTCAACTACGATCTGAACAAGACCATCTTCAGCACTTGGTAATGCTGTCAGTTCAGTGTTTTCCCCTGCCTCTACAGCTGCAGACTTCTTGAATCGTAGCAGTTCATCATATATGTATGTATGTTCAACAGGGTATCTCTACAATTACATGTACTTTGAGATGATAGGCTACATGAATTAGCTTTAATTAAAATGCAGTGTATATGTGTATACATTGATTGCTTGTTATCGAAGTAGAAATGTACACTTTTTTATGAATCACCCTGTATAAATGTATAAATTGCTCTGCTATCTAAAACCACGTTTAGAATTATCAAAATATATATCATATATATATATATATATCATATCTGGTAAAACAAAATCAGAAAAAGGTTCTTAATGCAGCAATAAAATATGACAAAGTATACATTTTCACATATTCTTAGAGCAGAAAACGCCATTTTGGCGGCCATTTTGCTTTTCCTTATAATCACAAATTACTAAAGGCGATATGATGATAGGCTACATCAATTAGCTTCAATTAAAATGCAGCTTATATACATCACAAAATATGTTGCCAGAGTGTGTATACATCGATGGCTTGTTATCGAAGTAGATATCGCAAACAGCCAATCTCTTGTACACTTTTTTATGAATCACCCTGTATAAATAATGTATAAATTGCTCTGCCATCTAAAGTAATATTAATAATTATCAAAATATGTATCATATACCGGTATATCATATCTGGTAAAGAAAATCAGAAAAGGGTTCTAAATGCAGCAATAAAACATGACAAAGAAATCGCAAACAGCCAATCTCTTAAAGTCTACGCTTTTTTTATGAATCACCCTGTATAAATAATGCATAAATTGCTCTGCCATCTAAAATAATATTAAGAATTATCAAAATATGTATCAAATATATCATATCTGGTAAATAAAATCAGAAAAGGGTTCTAAATGCAGCAATAAAACATGGCAAAGTATACATTTTCACAATTTTTAGAGCAAAAAAAACGCCATTTTGGCGGCCATTTTGTTTTTGCTTATATCTCAAATTGCTCAAGGCTGACAGAGCTCCAGTTTTTTGCTTGTTCACAGTGGATATCTAGACAATCAGAATCCATTAAAAAAAAAACTTATTTCACCAAAACAAGGTTAGGCCCCAAATCCGGGTTTGGCTGCCGGACTAATACACACATGCTGACCCAGGTAGGCAGGCCAGCACACCGGCCCCCCCCCCCCCCCCCCCCCACTCAGTGTTATTTATGGTACGCATATGCGTGTTCCAACCGACCCCCCCTTTTCAGCAAAAGTCCGGTGTGTGAAGTCAATACGGTTCGACCTTTTTCTTTTGTATACGAGCCTTTTTCAGCACCCCCCCCCCCCCCCCCCTTTTCAGCAAAAGTCTGGTGTGTAAAGTCAATACGGGTCGACCTTTTTCTTATGTTACGAAAAGGACATTTTGGCAACACGCATGGGGTTCGTCCGTTCTCGGAGTGGGGGGGGGGGGGCCGGGGCCAGCACTAGCAGACTTAACTTACATTTGTAAAGGCATCGTTAAACAATGTTAAATCTGAGATGATCAATGGCCCTACATACACTGTTATCAGTGTCTGTGATATGGTGTAATATTGAAGCCCTAAAAAATTTGCGTTTCATAATGATCATGAAGTGCCTCAAAAAAGTAAAAAACCGCTAACTTGTAAAATATGTCCAGATTATATACCAGACGAGCAGAAGGTCACTGTGGCATGTGGCAGCATGTACATTAAGTGCAATAAACATGATTTAAATACGAATACAAAAGTGAGTCAATGACAAATTACTTCTCGGTATCACAGATAGATGGCGCTTGTTCAGAAGCTTATCCAAAATTTGACCCGTAACTCCGGCGTGGAGATAGGTACTAAACATACCCAAAATGAAGTAAATATTCATTAAATGTCCAAATAAAGATCATAATTAAAAGTTGCTATGTTTATTACCTGTTTCGTGTTAATTTTCTTGTTATTTGTTGAGTATTTTTCGGATAAACGTTGATATTAGTATACACTTTTACACAGGTATCACAGCAAATCACTGCACAATACATGTACAAGACATTACTATAGATAACTTCACACAGGCGTGCGCCCGCCCGCAACCCACCATCAGTATGCACTTGTATTGTGCAGTGGTTTGCTGTGATCCGGGGAAAAAGTGTTTACTTATATCAATGTTTATAAAAAAATACTCCAAAAATAACAAGAAAATTGACACGAAACATCACACAACAACTTTTAACTCATGATCTTTATTTGGACATTTAATGAATATTTACTTCATTTTGGGTAGGTCTAGTCTATGTTTAGTAGACCTCTAATAGTAGGGTAGACTATCTCCACGCCGGAGTTACAGGTCAAATTTTGGATAGGCTTCTGAACAAGCGCCATCTATCTGTGATACCAAGAAGTAATTTGTCATTGACTCACCTTCTTTTTTCTTTTTTTTTTCTTCTAGTAGAGCTAGAGGTCTAACTTTTTTTTAGTTCTATAAATCTAGGACTAGGGTAGGGTCTAGACCTAGATCTAGATCTATCTCCACGCAGGAATTACGGGTCAAATTTTGGATAGGCTTCTGAACAAGCGCTGATATTTGTATTCATGCCCACAATGTGTGCTCCAAACAGGCGACTGAATTGAATCTAAACCACCGAATTCCAGCTAACGATGTCAACGACTTCCAAATAACACTGTGCATGTCCGTGTGATTCACACAAAATGCACGGTTCGCCCGCGCCGCCCTCGCCCGACCAACGGCACTGCACTGCACAATCACAACTCGTGTGTACCTCACGCGCACGCTGTCGACGGTCCAAAATCTAGGGTCTAATGCTACAACATGAAAAGCACATCACCAATTTTGGATTCAATTAAAAGAACATATTAACAATACAATATCATATAAAGCACATCAATTTATCGTTTAACTGCCACTTACTGATATTATTCTTTAGTTTTATAGGTTCTCTTCCTCACAAATATTGAACGAGAGTGTTTGTGTACATTAGCAACACAATTTATAAAATCATGTCGCCCTCTTTAGTCGAATCTGTCCTAGGCGATGGATCTTGAAACGAATAGGGACTTTTAGATTTGAGTGGACTGAATGTGTGACGTCCATTCAAGGCAGTGCATTATTAGGACGTCGATCGTAGCATAGACCTATTGTCTTCGTGCGTATCTAAAAGTCCCTAATAACACGAATTAGGTACTTGGTACTTGGTTGTTGTCCCTCCAAAAGATTCCTAGTGGAATTTATACTGGAGGTCGTGGTGGCAGAGGGTGGACTTATTTCGGAAGGAGTGCTACCGAAGGTAACCGAATGAACAGGGCAGAAAATAAATGTCAAAACAAATGAACAGGTGGTTGTTTATCATAACGATTTCTAAAAAAATAGCCGCCGGGTGTCACTGAACAGTGGTCAAGATCTTATTTACAGCTTATCATCTTAACAAAAAGTGTGGATTTGTTATTACTTATGAAAGAAAATCGACATAAAATTGCATTGCGCAATACTTGTTAAAATGCTTTTCTTCAGACCAATATGCCTATGGGATTGACTTTTTGTCTCCGCCCACCATCCAGCACGAGAAAACAACAACCCGTAATACGACAAGTGGGCACAAAGAAGGAAAAAACGGGCGGGGGGGGGGGGGGGGGGGGGAGAGAAAAAGGGGGTAAAATGAAGAAGAAGAAAAAAGAAGAAGGAGAGAAAAAAGTATCTCACATACACTCTTATTTCCACGGAGTCAAATTTCACTCTGAATGGCGTCAGCTGGGAGTCAACTCTATTCCTAGTTAAAGTGACACGAAAAAGGAGTCATCTTGACTCTGAATTGAGTCATTTCTCAGCTGATGCCACACAATCCGAGTCAAATTGATTCGGAATCCGTGTCACTTTAACTAGGAATATAGTTGACTCCCAGCTGACGCCATTTAGAGTGAAATTTGACTCCGTGGAAATAAGAGTGTAGTGTGAATAGCAAATTGGATACACGAAGTAAGAGGGCTACATCAATAACATTTGAATTTGAATTGAATCATCTTGAGGCAAAATGGGGGGGGGGGGCGCAAATCCTTTTGAAGGTACTCATTTGCAGGCCAAAAGAAATGAAAAGCTTAAATTCACAAGGCATTTGAAAGATACTACTAATTTAGAACTTACCTCAAAACGAAAGGGCTTGAAAACGTGATGGGGAAAAGGCGACCATTAGTTGTCGAATCGACTTTAGTGATTGCAATCCATTTATCAATAGTCTGATTTTCAGACCCTTGTACCAAATGGTTGTACGTTGTGCTGCGCAATGATTCAATCAGTTTAATTTGGGCCATTACAATATAGAATTGAGTAATGATGTGTAGGCTACAAATGCTTACTTCTGCTCATTTTATGTAGGCCTAAATGATTACCAAAGAAAAAAAAAGGTCTAGAAAGTAAACTGGTTTCCTTGAATAATTTGAATATTTGGACACTACTAACGTTTAATTTTCACAGATATACGTATTCACGTATTCACGGACATACGTGACATGTTTATAATTCCTGCAAAGTTCTACATAATGTGATGTTTGCTGCAAAAGGGACATATTATCTTTAAAAGGATGTATCCCGCCCCTCCCCCCCCCCCCCATTTCACCTCAAGATGATTCAATTCTAATTCAAATTTTATTGATTTTGATCCACTACAAACAGGATCCTTTTTTCCCTTCATACCAGCGGATACAAAAAGTCAAAATTACAGAGTAACAAATAAAATTGAGTGCAAACGTCAATAAACAGAAATGGCACAGCTTTTCGTACTTCCACATGTCTCATCTGGAACAAGTGTATTGAGACATAAAAAGGAATTACATTACTCTTAGTACTTTTTACAGCGAGGAAAAAAAACGAAAAGAAAAAAATGATAGTATAACAAAATATATATTTAAGTTCAAGTTTAATTTATTCAATACTTTCGTTACAAATATACAAAGGAAAACAAACATATCAAAGTTAAAATATAATACATGTATCAATAACATGAGAAAAATACCGACAGAAGAGACAATAAAGAACAAGGGGGAACTAAACATGTACATTTCAAGTATTTGGAGACTAGAGAGGAAAGCTTTTATATGTAAAAGTCTGTTTCGAGTATTGTGTAAAAAACTATGTACAGTATCTAAACTATTTATTTTTTGATAAAAAAGGGGGAAAAATTACTTTCACACATACACTCTCTGTATTTATTGATCTGTCTAATAACAATTATAGATAAGGCCTATTGCAATAGTGAGTATTGTTGTAAGAAATACAAATTAAATTTTCTTTTAACACTATTCAGTGATGGTTTATATATGTATATATATAGAAAAAGACACTGTTCATTTATCATTAAAGTTTGACCGATAACATTCTGAGAAAACAACAGAATCATCTCCAAGAACAAATCACACTGCAACAACCATCATGTGAAAAGAGAATTATAAAATATATAGAAAAAGACACTGTTCATTTATCATTAAAGTTTGACCGATAACATTCTGAGAAAACAACAGAATCATCTCCAAGAACAAATCACACTGCAACAACCATCATGTGAAAAGAGAATTATAAAAGCACCCCCCCCCCCCTCCACCCCAATGAAATCCATCCGTGCGGGAGACAGTAACCCTAAGGAGCAAAAACATTTTCTCGACTTTTGTTCATAAACATGATTTCGAAATTTCCGCTGTATTCGAGACGGGCTCAAATCAGAAAACTCACTGCATGCAGTCAAATAAAAAAAAATATCATAACATTTAAAAGTGAAATATATATACAAATATGTTAAAGATATATAATAAAAATTGGAGAAAAAAAAGAAACATGATTATGATTTTTATCGTTTCACCTCTAAAATGTCTTTTTATGGTCATCGAAGGAGAGGGGTGCCTTTTTTAATCATTAAAAGAAATCTGCGTTTTCATGATCCCTTTTCCAATGGGACAGCCCCCTTTAATTTGCTCCTTGTGTATTAGATGATAGAGAGAACGACTGGGGGGGGGGGGGGGTCAGAAATTGGATGGAAAGAAGATAAATTACGCATCATGCATCTACAAGCGTTTTAGTGCGCCAAACCGGAGATTATGGTGCAGGTGCGTTTCAGGGGAAGTCAGAGTCTACAACATGGACAGTGGAGGGTAGACGACCGTGCAACACCAAAGTCCATGGAGAAATCAAATAAAGGGCCGACGGCGAAATTGGATTACAAGCCAAACCGTCACATCTCGGCGTCTCCGTTTTCGAGTCGAACCTGGTGCAGAATTCATGATTTGTGGTGAAATAACCTAACTTTTTCCTTCAACTTTCAGAAACCTTTTTCTGTATAACGTTCCCCTTTCAGTAATGCACACCGTATACCGTCCTATCATCGACATCCGGCCGCTGTGGGTTGTTATATTAATTAAAGCAGTAAAATAATATATCGTATTTGTCTATCAGCCAAATTACATCGTTATCTCAGTTCGAGCTTGTGTCATCTTAAGACATTTCTGAGAAATAAATGAAAGTAATCTACAGAATGCAGGGATATGGGGGGGGGGGGGGGGACTCACATAGATAAATGAGATGTGCCGCTCTAATGGGTCCCAACTACATTTCGAAATGGCGAACACCTGAAAATTGTGAAAAATGGGCATATATTTCGAAGTGAACTGTAAAAGGTACATGAGCATTCGTCTACATAAATAACCCACTACTTGTAATGGCCAAAATTAAACTGATTGAATCTTTGCGCAGCATAAAACGTAAGACCATTTGGTAGAAGAGTCTGAAAATCAGACTATTACTTAGATGATTGCAATCACTTAAGACGATTCGACAACTAATGGTCGTTATTATTTTTTCCCCACTAAAAGCCATTTTCAAGCCCTATCGTTTTGATGGAACTTCTAAATTTCTTTCAAATGCCGTTGGAATTTAAGCTTTTCATTTTTTGGCCTGCAAATGGGACATAGTACCTTTAATACCATATAAAAACGACCAATAGATAAAACTTCATAGGCCCGATAGTAGTATTATGATTGCAGGTGGTGACTGGAATTGTGTGCAGAACAGAACCCTAGATACTTACGGGATATCTCACCCATATTTACCCAAAAAGTATTTTAAATCCTTCCAAACAAGAAATAAGCTTTTAGATATATGGAGGAATTTTTTTCCAGACAAGAAACAGTTTACTTGGCGACAGTTGTCATTAAAACTTTACTCCCGTCTGGACTATTGGTTAATAATTTTTTTTTTTAAATGTTCAGTTTTTCGACAGATATTCGACCATGTTTAAAATGTGATCACAATGCAATATCTTTGAAAATCAAAATATCCCAAGAACAAAGGGGAAAAGGTTATTGGAAGTTAAATAATTTTTTGCTAGTAATATGTATGTACAAAATGTTAAAGACTTGATACGGAAGATTAAGATTGAAACAAGTACTATGAGTAAAATACTACAGTGGGAAGTTTGTAAGTTTAAATTAAAAGAATATAGTATATGTTACGCAAGATTACAACAAAGAAAAATGAAACAGTATTATGTGAAAATGGAAAAGGAATTAAGACAGTACTGTTGTGTTCAGCAGAAGATGAACATTTAAATGATACTGATAAAGAAAAACTAGATAACCAAAAACGAGAGCTAGACAAATGGTATACTATGAAATGTAAAGGAGCTTACGTCAGATCAAGAGAAAATGGCTAGAACAGGGTAAAAAATGTACTTACTCTTTTGTATAAAAAGGGCAACAAGGGTTCTCTTGATAATTGGCGAGCGATTTCTCTCCTTAATATAGACTATAAAATTGCAGCACGTGTTTTGTGTTTGATAATGTAAATCACTCATTTCTTATTGAGACATTGAAACGTATGAATTTCAAGGTTTCCTTTATAGGATGGATTAAAGCTTTATACACAAATGGCCATGGTATAGGGTGTCACAACATGGGTGGCTATCTGAAACTTTTTATATTCAAAAGGGCGTTCGCCAAGGCTGCCCAGTATCAGCTTCGTTATTTATATTAGT